AGACATCCCTTCTCGGACCGACATCGCCGAGCTGATCCGTGTCCTTCGACCTGGACTTCGCATAGGGAAACGCTCCAGAGAGCTTCTCGGGCAGGCCAGCTGAGTCTCCAGGCTTTCGCTGACCTGTGCCGATCCTCTGGCTCACGGTGATTCGGTGATTCGTGTGGCTACACAGCATATCCTGAAGGCCGCTGCACACGAGTATGCTAGCAGAGTACTGCACAAGCCTCTCTCTCTCTCTCTCTCTCTCTCTCTCTCTCGCTCTCGCTTTCGCTCTCGCTCTCTCCTTTCTTTTTTCCCTGCAGCCCTGGCTGTTTTGGACCAGGCTGGCCCTCAACCCGCAGACACACTTGCCTCTGCCTCGCAAGCGCTGGGACTAGAGGCGCGAGCCAGCGCGGGCAGCAGTGTGAAGCCTTCCACAGTGGTCTTTGCGGGTGTGCTGCTGCTGCAGTGTGAGCAGACGGCGGCCACAGCTCGGCAGGTGGGTGCAGCTCGGCAGCTTCTGATTTAGACCGGAAGCTCTGGAAGCAGAGCCGGGCAAATGGCCGGGCGCGCTCAGTACGAATGGAAGAAAGTGTAGGACCCCAAGCCGAGCTGTGATCAGGTTTGGTTATACTGCCGACACACTGAACGCAGACGGACTGCAGAGGCCACCGTAGGTCTCCAAAGTCGGAGACTCTGGCCGGAGCAAGGCACTTGGATTTGGAAGTTGCTGTGCAGAAACAGAGCAATGAATATTATTCAGCATGTCTGTCTGAGCACATGTGTGTCCCGGAACAGCAGCCCATGTGAGAGCAGCCGACGGCAGGCCACCCGGAAATACGAATAAAGAGCGGCCTGGGTTCCGTGTTACAGGAGGCAACACGCTCACCGGGTCCTGCTGTCGGCCTGTCTGTGTATTTACTAGTTCATCCGAACACATGGCGGCCTGGGTAACGGCTGTAAAACTACAGCACACGCATGGAATGCAGGGGGAGGAGAGTGCGAGGATGCGCCAGGAGGTGAAGAACTGAGCATGTTCTCAATGCAGACCATATGATGCCGCTGCACACAGAGACACGCCGGAGGAAGAGCACAGCGGGACCAACACCACTGTACTGGCGACCTCGGCGTGCGCGGGCACACAAGGACCTGCGAGAACAGCTCTGCACGCGCGCGGCCCTGCAGAGCACCGCACGCGATCCTAGGAAAGCCCTACCCCAAGGCCTGCAGCGGGAGCTGATGCGGGCGTACCACAAAGCAGGCGATGGACACGGCCCTGCTCCGCACAGGCCCGAGCAGAGCTGCTGTGCGTTGTGAGCAGATGGGTGTCCGGGACCAAGGCAGGCGAGGGGCGGCGCCTCAGTGACTCCATGCCAACGCGCCCAACACAGATCTATTCACAGGTGCGCGTGAAAATGTTGTTGTAGCCGCGCCGCTGGAATGGAAACGCTGGGGCAGATGAGGGCAGTGCACACGGCTGCCCTGCTGCCCGTGTGCCTGTGAACTCGCCGGCACATCAGAACTCGGTGTTCGGGAACACCAGGCCGTACGGTTAGTTACAGTAGCGCATCTGGAAAGAGAAGGAAAGAAGTGTGCAGAGGTTCACGATCCGGTGGTCGTGAGTGTGCTCGTGTGGCAGGGCTCGCGCGGGTAGGACATCTGCACTCAGGGTGCGCGGGAGGAGCACGAGGCTGTCTGGCCAGGGAACGCACCTGCGGCTCCCCAGCGCGTCTGTCACTCAAGCACTGTGCGATGGCCTCTCTGCCAAGCTGAGCACCGCTGTGCGGTGTAAGCTGATGGCGCTCCCGGTGAAGTGGGTGGCCTGGCTGCACAGGCGCGCTCGCTAGAGCCCAGCACCTCCTTCCCGGGAGCGGAGGCGGTGCCGGGCTGTCAACCGTCTCGGGGAGCCTTCGCAGGCCCCGGATCTGGAGCGGCACTGGGAGGCGTTGTTTTCCCGCTCGGACTCGAAGAAAGCAGTGCGGAGGCGTTGCCTCCCGAGAGATGGTTGTTTTCCTGAGGGAGCCGCAGCCCCTTAGTCCCCGCACCCCGGCGCACTGGGACATCTTGCGTCACAGAGCACATCTAAGAGACAGGCTGCAAGGTGAGGTTCCTCCCGGAGGCAGCTCAGCCTGGGGCGAGGGCCTGTGTGACTCTAGAACTCCTGTGTAACAGTCAGGGACTCCGCTCCGCAGGGCCGGCCACACCGCTGGCCGCGGCAGAGCCGACTCCACCCTGGAGCGTCCTTCTCCTCAGCCGTCCAGACGCCAAGGCCGCCACAGGAGAGAAGGTTCCCTGGGAAGCAGCGCCCCAGGATCTGGCCCACACTGACGCTGAGGTGCTAATGCATGCCGAGGCCCCAGCAGCGGCGTTCCCAGCATGGGGGAGCACGTCGGAGCACTCGGGAGCTGCAGTCCACACCAGAGCACTACACAGCAGCGTGCGTGGAGATACAAGGGAGGACTCCAAGGGAGGACTCGGAGTGCGACAGGCGGGACCTCGAGCGCCCTCGTAACGCAGCACACTCGCGTGAGCACAGCCTACACAATGCAGTGCTGGCGAATGTGCTCGAATGTGTTACAGCAGGACTCGTGAAAGCAACACGCCCGAACCCTCAGAGGTACGATTGCACAGGGCCGCACAGGAATGCACGCCCGTGCACACGTCACCACGCGTGTGTATTAGTAAATCACCGCACAGTGGCCTCTGCCAAAAGCGGTTTACTGCTGCTGCACTCCTCACCCTTGCAGGTCTCTCTCTCTCTCTCTCTTCTTTTTACAAGTTTTCTTTAAAAATTTTTATAAGCTACAGTTTATTCACTTTGTATCCCAACTGTAGGCCCCTCCCTCATCCCCTCCTGCCCTCACCCCCTCCTGCCCTCACCCCCTCCTGCCCTCACCCCCCCCTCCCCCAGTCTCCCATAGGGGCAGTCCTCCTCCCCTTCCATCTGACCCTGCCCTGTCAGGTCTCCTCAGGACGGGCTGCACTGCCCTCCTCTGTGCCCTGCAAGGCTGCTCCCCGCCTTTGTCTCTTAGTGTGGGCATTGTTTGCAGTTGACAACAAATCCAAACATCCACAGCGGCCACAGCGGTGCACTGACACAGCAGCTCACATTTAAACACAGGAAACGAGCGTGGGTGGATTTTAGAGTAGAGCGGGCACACTCGCTCTTTTTGTCTCTGTAACAGTGCCGCTGTGCACGGCGGCCCTCATGTCCGTGAGCAGCGCGCTCGGCGTCTCTAGCAGTGGATCCGAACACACCCTTCTCCTTCATCTCCATGTGCGTGCCTGTGGACTGTTCGTGAACTACACGTGAGGGAGCAGGGATAAGTTCGTGCTAGGGGGGTGCTTGTGGAGCAGGACTCGCGGGTAGCGGACTGCAGCCGCACACTGCACCTTCCTGAAGAGCACACATTCAGCACTGCGGCAGGGACCTCGGGGTCTGGGCACCAGAGCTCACGGAAACACTGGACAGGAGCCCACGAGGCTTTCCCTGCACACGGACGCACAGCAGAGCAGCACCCCGGCATCTCCCCTAAATCCCTCCACAGTGGCATTTTTGCAGAGCCGAGCGCTGCGCCGAGTGTAGAGTCATGTGCATTCACAAGGAGAAGGATGTCCACCTGCAGTGCCACACGTTTTCCCGGCACTAGAGCCCTGAGCCGAGGCAGACGAGTACACGGAGCCATTGAAGTTCACCGCACAATGCAAAAACAGCTCTACCGCTAACGCCCCACAGTGCGCCTCGGCGGGGCCGTCGTAGGTCTATCGGATCCAGCACACCCTGGGAAGGCCGTCACAGCCCTGCGCCTGCGGCCGGAGAGAGGGCACCCCAGGCTGAGTGCACAAGGCACTAGCATCAGAGCACACGGGTGTCCACAAACAGCAGTCTACACGGACACTGTACAGCACACGTGGAAATCCAAGTAACAGAGCACACGTGGATTCAGTATAACAGGAATCGTCTCGCACGTTCCCCTCTAGCAGCAGCCACGGACTTCCAAGTGCAATTTCTGTCACGAAAATGTAATAGACTGCAGGACTCGCGGGTTAGACTATCAGCAGGAGAGGATATCCTAGCAATCAGTGCCCACGGTCCACTGTTAACACAGGACACGAGGCAAGAATCTCAGCCCCTGCCCCAGATGCACAGCAGAGCCGACCACACACCGGCCAGAAGGCAGCACACATGAGAACGTTCCTGTTCCAGCGCACCTGGACAGTGAGGTGCCAACGCAGAAGTACACCAGCACACGCTGCGGTCCTACTGTCGGTGTGTGCGTGGACAAACAATACACGCAGGTATGCACATGCACACACACACACACACACACATACACACGCGCACACGTGAAACACGCAGGCACAAAACATAAACATACGTGTGTACACTCGTAAGCAAACACGTGTATACACAAACAGAAATGTACACATGCACACACATAAATTTATACACATACATGTAAACATACTAAATATATATACATACACCCACAAACATGAATATACATATGTACATAAACACACATGCACATGCAAATATAGTTACAAAAATTATACATATGTACACACTCAAATCTACACATGTACCCCCATATACACACAGACACAAATGTATACACACACACAGTAAGTACATGCAAACACATAAATATACACATGTACAATATACAGATATGTCCATGAACACAGACACAAATGTGCACACTCACACCCACACAGAAACATGTGCACACACATAAACATCCTCGTGTGTGCCAGTTCATTCGAGGCACCGGAACGTTTGTGGGTTTTGGAGGTGGCGGCTCAGCAAGACACCCCTTGTCTCGGGGTCAGTGCGTGACCTTCCTAGAGCCACAAAAGAGAATCTTCCACATGGGGCAGCAGCGCCACACACATCGCCTGTGGCTGTGGTTTTCCTTGGTTTCTCTGGGCACCTGCTCTGGAGGTGGGACTGGGTGGGTGTGTCAGCTGCTCTCCCTTGCTGTGAAGAAACACCACCGGAAGCAACACCACCGGAAGCAACTCTGAGGAGGTTTATTTTGGGTCATGGTTCCAGAGGTGGAGTCCGTGATGGCTGGAAGGTGTGGAAGCGGGAGCAGGGCGCAGCTGCCGCCTTTCATCCACACACACAGGAGGCAGAACGGAAGGAAGTGGGAAGAGCCTGGAGCCCACCCCGCAGTGACACAGTTCCCTCAGCACCGCTGCACCTACCCAGCCAGCGTGCCCGCTGGGAACTGGTCTTTGGGACACTTGGGCCTTCGGGGCGTTTCTCACTTAAACGGCAGCAGGAGGCATCCTCACTTAGGGATTACCCAGGCCACTTTTGCCTTCTAGAAAATTCCTAGCACATTTGCATTTGGAGGTCTGGCAAAGTTTTACAAAAATGTCTGTTTAGACCAGTTAACTCAGAGGTCTCCAGATATTTTCCACTTCAAATGTCCCTCCGAGTTCATGCTTTGGAGGGACTCTTTGGCCCCTCCCTGTTCTAGTGTGACTAGATCATGCCTCAAAAAACAATGACAACAAACAGTACTGCATCATACACAGACACACAAGATTTGGGGACATGTGAACACGAGTCTGTCAGTGTCAGTATGCCACCTGATCTTGCCCTAGAACAAACAGGGCAGAGAGTCCATGGCTTCCCTCTTCATCATTTCTTCAAACGGCGTGAAATCTACAGTGACTTCAAAATAAGTAGTTAGGGGAAATGTGCACACCACTAGGGTGTCCAGCCTGATCGGCCAGGGGTAGGGGGTGGCCTTGAAGTGGACAGCTTGGGCTGAGAGTCACCGTCCGCTTTGACTGCAGGGTGAGGATGGCCTTGCTCAAGCCAGCCTGGGCATGCTGCGTTCTTCTTGGTATTCCAATAGTCCATCACTTTCTCTGCCATCATCCTCCCAGACAGGAGTCTAGATTGGACATCCTGTGGAGTCCCAGTGGCCACTGAATCTCTGGCATCTCCAGCAACTCTATGGCTCTAGGGGGGCTGTGAAGAGTCCTGACTCAGGCAAGGCCTGACTCCTGGGCGAGCCTGTAAAACAGGCCTTTCTGGGCCAGCAGCTGGGCTGGGCTGCCACTCTCTGCCACCTGCCCCTCGTCCATGACAAGGACCCTGCAAGGAAGACATGGGCAGTTCCTGTGACAACGGCTGAGGCCCTCGCTGAGAGCCCAGCTCTGCTTTGAATCCACTCCCCAGGTGTCTGACTTTCCAAGCCGCTTCCTGGTCCTCCCAGCATCCTGGCCACACAGGTCCTGGGCAAAATGCCTTCCCCAGGGACTAGGTCGTGCGCCTGGCACAGTGGGCACTTCCTGATCCATCCCTGGACAATTTCAGATGAGCACACTGAGTATCTCCCCTGCCTCCTGGGCCCCGTGATCGCTGGGGACGACTTACCGGGAACAGTCCATGACAGAGCGCAGGCGATGAGCGATGAGCAGGACTGTGCACTGCGAGAACCAGCGCTCCAGGGCCGCCTGCATTTGCATCTCCGTCCCCGGGTCCACGGAGGCGGTCGCCTCATCCAGGATGAGGATCTGGGTTTTCCGGAGAAGGGCACGTGCCAGGCATAGGAGCTGCTTCTGACCCACGCTGAAAATAAACTGCACGGTCAGGCTAAGTAGGTGCCATCAGTTGGCACAACAGGCCTCTCTACAAGCAGGCCCTGGGGAAAGCTGCTGGTGGCGCCTGCTTGTGTCGTCCCCACCCCCACCCCGGGAGGGGCCCCGCCTTCCATTTCTGCTGCCTTAGTGCAGCCTGACTGTGGCCAACACATTCACATCTTCTGTGCCTTGGTTTCTCCACCTGTGAAAAGGCTGCTTTCTTTCTCTCTGTGGGTGCGTGTGTGCATGCGTGCGTGCGTGCATGAGTGTGTGTGTGTGTGTGTGTGTGCACGCGCACGTGTGTGCATGCGTGTGGAGGCCAGCAGTGACACCCACTTTGCTTCCAGAAGCAGAGACTCCCCGACCCAGAGCGGGCAGCCTTAGCTAGGGCTCCAGGTCTCGCATCTCTGCCTCCTGAGCACTGAGGTCACAGGCAGCTGCTGGGCCCACCTGGCATCGACATGAGACCAGGGCATAAAGCTCTGGTCCTCGCACTCGCCCAGCAGGCGCTGTACCCACTGGGCACCTGTCTCCCAGCCCCCATCATAACATGCCAAGTGTCCAAGTAGAAACCAGACACAGAAGGTGGCTGTTGCCCCTATTTTGTTCTATTTGACACAGGGTCTCACTATGTGGCCCTGGCTGCTCTGGAACTCACTATGTAGACCCAGCCTTGAACGCGTACAGATCTGCCTGCCTTTGCCTCCTGAGTGCTGGGATTAAAGGTTTGGAGTACAGCCTTACTTGTTTTCTGTTTTTTCTTTTTTTGTTTTTTGAGACAGTGTCTTGCTACCTAGGCAGGCTGTTCTCAAACTTGAAATCCTCCTGTCTCAGCCTCTTGAGTGCTGGGATCACAAGGCCGCAAGAGCAGGATCAGTTATGAATGATGGTGCTGCTATGATCAGGGAGGGCTGTGGGCCGGGGCTGCAGAGCTTCTGAGGCATGCACAGCCTTGCCCAGCCCTGCCCAGCCCTGCCCACCCCACGTTAACCACCCTGCACCCCAAAAAATAGTGTGACACTCCTCTTTATGTTACGTGTGTCTCCTCCTTAAAATGTTTTAGCAAAAGGCATCACTAGAGAGAGGGTTCAGTTGGGGAAATGACTTATGTACAAACATAAGGTCTTGAGTTCAGACCCCAACCACCATGTAAAAGCTGGGCACAATGTCACATAGCCGCTCTGGGAAGGCAGAGTCAGGAGGATCCTGGGAGTCCATTGGCCAACCAGCCTAGGAGAATCAAAGAGCACCAGGCTTAGTGAGAGGCCCGGTCTCAAAAAATATGGTGGGGAGTAATAGAGGAAGACACCCAAGTTGACCTTTGGCCTCTACACACCACACACACACACACACACACACACACCCCACACCACACACATGCTTGGCGCTGCAGGAAAGGGTTGGGGCTTATACTAGCAGAAGGGGTCTGCTCAGAGTCCAGACTTCCTTCTGGTCCTGCCCCTGGTGGCTGGCCATACCTCAGGTCATCTCCCTGGCCAGCACACTCATACTGCAGCTGGCCGGGCAGGCTGGCCACAAAGGCCTTGAGCTGCACTGTCTCCAGCGCGGCCCAGAGGCTTTCATCAGTGTGCTCCTGAAGCAGGTCCAGGTTCATCCGCAGAGAGCCTGGGAACAGGACCGGGTCCTGGCCGGAGGGACAGGAGGGAAGCCGTCAGAACAGGGCCGTCACGGCCCCCTCCCCCACCTCTGCCCCACCATCCGTGGTCTCACCTGAGGGATGATGGTGATTCGGGACCGAAGCGTGTGCAGCCCCACACGGGTGATGGGGACGCCGTCGATCCAGATGCCACCCTCGGAGGCCTCCTGAAGCCGCAGCAGGCCCCAGGCCAAGGAGGACTTCCCGGCCCCTGTCCTGCCCACGATGCCCACCTGCCAGTAACGCAAGAGTGAGGCCACCATGAGCAGGCCTGCCCCAGGCCTCGGGTTCACAGACCTGTCTCTGTGCCCCCCTCCACTGAGCGTGCCCCCTCAACACAGCTGCTCACTGTTCCATCCCCCCTGGGCACTCTAACTTCTCCTGACAGTTCTGCCCCTTGCCTTTATGTCCTGGCCACCTCCGTCACCCTCCATCCTTCCAGGTGCGCCCTCCCATTTTCCGGCATCCTCCTGCATCCCACCCTACCCTTGCCTTCTCCTTCTGGCCCCTCTTCTTTCTTGTACCCACCATCCATCCACTCTCCCATTCACTCCCAATCTTTCTTTCTCATTCCCCACCCTACACATGGGTCTCTCCCTTTCCTACACTCTACCCTCCTCTCCTCCATCTTCTATCCCTTATCCCTCCTTTCACACAGCCCAACAATGCCTCTCCTCCGGGGACAATAAGGTAGATAGAGGAACCCCCTGCCCCCGAGGCAGATCGGGGCCTGGGAAATGGAAGCTGAGAAACCTGGGCAGGGCCTATGCCCAGGAGCCTGGAGCCCACAAGGACAGGCTGGGAGGGCCGCCCACCTTCTCTCCTGCATGGATCTTCAGGGACACACCCTTCACAGCCAGCGGCAGCTCTGGTCGGTGTCTGAGCCCGAAGTCCTGGAATTCAATCTGTCCGCTATGAGGCCAGAGAGGCTGCGCTGCACAGGTGGGCAGCTTCCAGGGAGCCTGGGTCAGGGAGAGGTCGGCACAGCTCAGAGGAGCTGCCCCAGACCTCTTCACAGGGGCCTGCCTCTCAGAGCCTCACCTCCCCACTACACTGTTCATTTGGAAACTGCCCCAGGGCATCCTTGTCGTTTGGGGACAAGGTCTCAGTATACAGTCCAGGCTAGCTTCTAACATTCCTGCAACCCAGACTCGCCTCTACTTATTTAGCCTGCGCTGGCCTCCAAATCACTTTTTCCAAGCTACACTCCAATTCTCTGTGTAGTGCAGAATAACCTCTAACTTGTTGTTATAGCCCAGGCTGGGCTCCTGCTTGCTTTATATAGCCAAGACTGGCTTCTAACATAAGTAGCCCAGGCTAGCCCACAATGTAGCCCAGACTAACCTCAAAATTTCTACCCGGCATAGCTTTTCACTATGTAGCTCAGAGTAGTCTCAAACTCGATACATGGACCAGGCTGTCTTCACCCTAGCAGCAACTCTCCTGACTCAGCTTCGAGTGCTGGGGTTTCCTTGCAGCCTGCTGCACCTGGCCTGAAGCCGTGTCATTTCCGTTGCCGCCCTGTTCCCGTGGCATTGCTGCTACACTCCTGAGGCGTCATGCACCTCGGGTCTGTTTTGGCTCACTGCAGCTGTGAGGTTGTCCCGGCTTGCTGCTGGGTTAAGATGCCACTCTAGCAGCACTGTCCTTTTCATGGGTGACGGCCTCGTCCCGTCCGTGCCCCGCTGCACGGCTGGAGCGTGGCTGTCCTGTAACACTGTCACCATGCTGAGGGAGCGCCCCTCCTGCCCCTCCTGAGCACTATCACTCAGCGCTCAGACAAGTGGCCTGCCCTGCTCCAGGGAAAAGCAGGGTTTTAAGCTCCTCACTCTCGCTGCAGCCCACGGCGACGCTGCTTGTGGGAAGGAAGGGGCAGGCAGCAGCCTGGCCCGGCGCCCCTCAGTCCATCACCCTGTAGTCACCTCTTTGGGGGTGCTCGCGTAGTCCTGCACCCGCTCCACTGCCACCATGCTGTTCTCCAGGTCCGAGCAGCTTCGGACCACCCACTGCAGGGTCTGTGTCACCTGGGTTGAGGAGACACCTCAGCTGGGTCCTCTGGGTTCTCAGCATCCGGCCTCACTGCCCAAGTGCCAGGTGGGGGTGGAGAGGGGGGTGTAGGAACAGGGAAATGGAGGACCTGCGCCCACAGGGGTGGGACTGGACTTCCGCCAACAGCACATAGGGTGCAGGTGACAAATCCGCTGGCCCCGAACAGTGAGACAGGACCAGGAGGGTGCCTGGCCCTCCCAGGACACCAGAAAGACCTGGCTCTGTGGCTTCCATTCAGGCAGCCTCTGCAGTCGGGCTAGGTCTCCCCAGATTTCCACCCCGCTCTCAGCCTCCGACTCCACGAGCGAGCGGTTCCCTGGCCGGCCCGGCCCCCTCTGTCCTCCCTCTTTTGGCCGTGTCTGTCTGACACCAGGCCCCCGGCCTTTCCTGCTGCTGCCAGTTCTGCCCAGAGCACTGACCCCCAAGGGAGATTTGATCCACAAAGCATGAAGCAACAATTCCACCATCTGATGCTGCCTGTACAGATGAGTGAGAGAGGGGAGAGAGAGAGAGAGAGAGAGAGAGAGAGAGAGAGGAGAGAATGAGTGTGTGAGAAAGGAGAATGTGAGAGAGTATGCATGTAAGAGTGTGTGTAAGAGAGAGGGTAAAGAATGTGTGTGTGAGGGTGTGTTTTTATGTGTGAGAGAGAAAGTGTATAAAAGAGAGTATGTAGCTGGGTGTGGTGGTAATCCTGTAATCCCAGCACTTGGGGAGGCAGAGACAAGTGGATCTCTACAAAGCAAGCCCAGGACAGCCAAGGTTACAGAGTGAAACCCTGTCTCAGAAAAAAAAAAAAAAAAGAGTGTATATGTCTGTGTTTGTGGACACGGCATAATAGCAAAAGCTAACCACAAACACCCCGCTAGAAACCTGCTGTCAACCCCTCCCCTGTCGCAGCTAACCCATGGATGTTCAAAGCCCATCACTTGGACGGGCACACGGACGGTCTGAGCTGCTTGCTTGAGGCCACATAAGGTTCCCTAAGAGCCGTACTTCCCCAGTGCTGGGCAGTGGAGACCCGGGAGTCCTTGGAAATACTCCAGAGGCCCACCTGCCTCTGACTGACCCACACAGGTGAGGTGAGGAGAGGTGAGGAGAGGTGAGGAGAGGTGAGGTGAGGTGAGGTGAGGTGAGGAGAGGTGAGGAGAGGTGAGGAGAGGTGAGGAGAGGTGAGGTGAGGTGAGGAGAGGTGAGGAGAGGTGAGGAGAGGTGAGGAGAGGTGAGGAGAGGTGAGGTGAGGTGAGGTGAGGTGAGGTGAGGAGAGGTGAGGAGAGGTGAGGTGAGGAGAGGTGAGGTGAGGTGAGGTGAGGTGAGGTGAGGAGAGGTGAGGAGAGGTGAGGTGAGGTGCTGGGTACCTGGAGGGCAGCGGAGACGGAGAAGCCCACAAGGCCAGCACTCAGGTGAGCCTTGCTCAGCACAGCACAGGTAGTGGCCACGAACATCAGGCCATTCCCCAGGAGTTCCAGGTTGGCCGCCAACCACCTGTAAAGGGACACACAGCTCAGCAGGACCAACAGGACCCACTTCTGTGGGTGTGGGGGCACTGGGCACGGCCGGTGCTCACCACCCCCAGGGCCCTGCAGTGGCTGTAAAGCCTGGTTGTGGTAAACGCTCAGGACCCCAGGGGGCCCACTATGGGTCCAGACTTGGGGAGGAGAGAACACTATTCTGTCTACCCAGTGGCCCAGCTGCGGGCTGACACATGCCGGAGGATCCGTAGAGCTTCCTGTTTTGGAGATGTGTATTTTCTATCCCGGCTCGGCCTGTTCCCTCCCAGCTCCCTCCCTGGGGTGCATGTGGCTACATGTATACACGCGTGTGCAAGCTATACTCTCAACTATCATTTCTCTGGTGTCATCCACCGTGGGTTTTGCTGCTTTGTTTTTTTAAAGACAGGGTTTCTCTGTGTAGCTCTGGAACTCACTCTGTAGACAAGACTGTCCTTGAATTCAGAGATTCTCCTGCCTCTACCTCCTGAGCGCTGGCATTAAAGGCTTGTGCCGCCACTGCCAGCCGGGTCTACCAGTGAGACATGGCCTACAGCATGTCCAGAGTTGGACTGGCTTGCCAGCCGGGCTCCATAAAGCCCCTCTCCCGAGTGCTGAGACAAGCTCGCGCCACAGCCTGGGTGCTGTAAGGCCAGTTCTGCCGACCAGTCACGCCCTCCTACTTTCGAGGCAGGCTCGATACCTTCTGAGTGGTCTCCTCGCCCCGCCTGCCTCCTCGTTTGGCTCTTCCTCACAAGCACCCAGCCCCAGTGCTACCTCTCCTGGGAGCCTGCCCTTGTTGGGTTTCTCCTTTCTCTCTCACCCACTGACCTCCTTCCCGTGATACTCTCACCAGCCAAATCATTTAATGTCACCAATTGACATCACCACTAGGAGCCCTGGGCTTTGTGGGGACAAGGATCTTGTTTCCTCATTTCTGGTTCCGTCCATAGTTCAGCATGAAGTTTGTGCTCAACGAATGCATTCTTGCTGGATAGTACAGTGTGCCTCTGTCACTGGGTCCTGTTCTTCCGTTCAGCCATTTGTCCACTCATTTATTTAACAGATAGTGAGCATGTATTATGGGCTGGGCATGTTCAAGGTGCTCGGACCGGACTGAACAAGCACCTATCATGTCACTGGGGGCCTCACGTGTGATGTCTACTCCTCCTGCTGCCAGTGGAGAAGATACTCTTCCCATTTGAGGAACTGAGGCTAAGAAGGACTGGGACAGTGCCAGGCATGTGGCAAGCACATCACAAGAACTCCCGGCAGTGATTCAATCCTTCATGCCACCTTGGGTGTGACCGCTTGAATAAGTGGGGATCAGAGAGGTTGTGTAACCTGTGGGGTCTGCCAGCTCGAAACTGCAGAGCTGGAAGTTGAACCCACATCTTCTCTTGCTTAACCCCAAAAGGTGGTTAAGGATGCTTGATACCAGCCTCCTTGTCACCAAGGAAACAGAGGTTGGCATGGCTGGCTGGCAACGCCACTTCTTTCTGTGCCTCAAACCCACTGGACGTCAGGTACTCTGCTGTTGTGTGTGTTCAGATGTTCTCAGTGGGACGAGGCTTCAGACTGTCCCTGCTTGTGGGACTGCGGTCAAGCCATCCGGGCCCTCTAACCATGCAGCTCAAATTTCTCTGTGTGTGTGTGCACTCGTGTGTGCGTACATGCGTGTGCGCTCCAGGTCTATTCTGATCCCGGCTCTTCCTACCTGTCAGCTACCAGGCGTGGGAAACTGACCCTCTGGTTTTCATCCATGAGGGCGTCGTGCTGAGCCGTGAAGGGTCCCTGGGCACGGAAGGCCCTGACCACCAGACTGCCCTGGAAGGTCTCAGCCATGTGAGAACACACAGATGAGTAGCTGGCTGACTCCAGGCGCCTCAGCTGGCAGGAGGTGGCCACGTAGAGGCTCTGTGGTAGGGGACGGAGGAGGGACAGAGACAGAGAGGAAGCTCTTAGAGCACACGAGCAGCTGGCGCCCTCTGCTGGGCCTGCTTGGGCCCCTTGCTTGCTTTCTCAGGAGCAGGAGGCCTGGCCAGCAGCAGGACCCCGTTCAAAGCCATCTCCGCCTGACTCCAAAGCCTCTGCCCCCCGGTCAGGTGGACTGAGGGACGATCTGGGCCAGCTGAGGCCAGCAGCAGTCACGATCGCTGACAGGAGAGCTGGGAAGGGGTACTGTCAGTCATTGGCCTCGACAAGTAGATGGTCATGGGGCCCAGTCTAGCTGATAGAGCTCTGGCCCTGTGACTGGTTTAGGACAAGCACGTGACCCATCACCACAGGCCAATTAGAATCTTTCCTGAGTCAGTGAAAGACTTTCTTGGGGAGGCTGGGACGAGGCAGAGTGGAGGGCAGCTGAGGTCAGGACAACTGTCTACTGGCAAAAGCATGTATAGATTGAGGCCTGGCTGGGCTAGCCTGAGCTTCTCAAAGACCAGAACGCAGTGTCATGCAGCCAAACTGCCAGGCTGTGAGTCCACTCAGGCAGCAAAGCTGTGGCCCACTGCTCCTGGCTCAAGTGCTGATCTTTGTGTGAGGTCAATTTCAGAGGGCCTCTGGCCTGGCAAGGTAAAACCGTCACCTTAATGCAATACAGTCCCACCTGTGCAGTTCAGTGCTTTGCAGTGAGCATGGGAGGAAGGAACGCTGCAAGAAGTAAGGCCCAACACTGAGACATGAAGAACTCTAGGGAAGGACTGAGAGGCAGAGGCTTGTGTGGGTTCTCCGGGGTGCTGTCTCTGCCCTGGGGGTCAGGAGTGAGGCTCTCTATTCCATGCCAAGCTGCAGACCTTCCCCCACCGAGCCTTGCCCAGAGGCAGGGGACCGCCAGAAGTGACCTCAGCTAGCCCTGGGCTCTGACATCTCCATACCTGAAACCCAGCGTAGAGGAACATGAGCGGCAATATGGCCACGATGGCGAGGGGCGTGGCCATCGTCACCGCCAGGCCGACCTCCAGGAGCCCGAAGGCGTGGGTCAGCAGAGACCTCAGCTTGTCGGGGATGTCCAAATCCACCGTGTCTGTCTCCCTGGAGAAGCGGTTCAGCAGGCTCCCGACCGGCGTGCGCTCGAAGAAGCCGATGGGAGAGCGAGCTACGTCCCACAGGAGGCTCCGGAAGAGGAGGCCTGAGGCCCGGGCCCCACCCAGGAACACAGCAGCCACAGAGGCAAACAGTCCGATGGCTGCAGAGGGGGAGTTGGAGTGGAACCCGCTGTTAGGCTGGGCCAGTTCTCCCAACACCCCAACATATGATGTAACAGACTCACAGATGGAGGGCTGAATACAGTCTCCCCAACTCATGCCCACCCCAACCCCCAAATGCAACTTTATCTAGAAATACGAGTTTCATAAGTACAATAAATGAATATTCTAGATTTAGGGTGGGGCCTACATCTGTTCTTTGTATCCTAAGAATGGGGCACAGGCAGGAGGCAGATAAACAGACAGAGACAGAGAGTGGTCGGCCACAGCTAAGGGGAACACCAGAAGATGGGAAAGATTGAAAGGAGAGGTACTGCCAGGGGGACACTACTGTCAATCCTGGTCCCATAGTGCAGTGTAGGCAGTCACGTGACTCAGCTAGCCAGTCAGAGCACCAGCCACGGTGTTACTGACTGGTTTGTGATGGTTGCCTGACTCATAAAGGGGCCAATCAGATCCTTCCCTGTTAGATGAAGGATGAGCTGGAGCAGAGAGCTGTGTTGGGGCTACTGAGGCAGCCTGAGGGAAGCAGAGCGCTCCCTAGCCTTCTGCTCCTGCTACTCTCACAGCCTCCTCTGTGGTCCTAGAGACTGACCAGTTCACAGAGACGTTTTTCTTTTGAGACATGTAGCCCATGTTCTTTGTCTCATGTAGCCCAAGTTGGCCTTGAACTTGTGACGTAGCAGAGGAAAGCTTCGAATGCCTGATCTCCCTGCCTCCACCTCTGGAATGCTGAGACTTCAAGGGTATGCTATCACCCCAGGCTAGCCCTAGGTTGCCAGCACGCAGCTTGTGTGCCACCCAAATGGGAGTTCAAGCTCATTCCAGCTTGGCTGACTGACAGCTCAGGGTCTGTCTGGATTTAGCGACCACCTGCACTCAGGCAGCTTCTCCCAGCTGTGCAGACTGGTCTGTAGTGAGAATTTTGGAATTTTGGTGTCCTTAGAAAATACAGAAATGTAAGGATATGCTTTTGTTTCAATCCCAGGTGTGAGGACACGGGTCTGCTTCACAGCAGTGGACTATGGTTTGTGACTGTGACACTTGGAATTTTGGGGAGTTTTCAAGGGGCTTATATGTAAATGCTAGGGCCCTGAGAGGCAGCTGGGTTGATGGCTGGTTGCTGTTGGTTGTGATTTGTTAAGCAGTAATGCATAAAGAGGAAACAAGAAGAAGAGGAGGAGGAGGAAATTAGATGTCCCAATGGTGGTTATCAAGCTTGCCCCAAGGAGCTAGATGCCCCTAATCAACAGGAAGTAATCCAACAATGACATCATCCCTTTTTTTTCTCTCCTGTCTAGTGTTAGGGGATTGAAAGGGAAGAAGAAAAGAGAGAGAGGAGGGTGAAGAAAGAAGAACTCACCAAGTAAGTCTGGTCACACAGGTCTACAAACTGTAAGGGTCCCTAACGTCGGCCAGCATTCCTATTTTACAAGGGAGTCAGGCTCACGGCATCTTGCTGAGATGCCTATAGTTCTAGAGAGTCACACGAAGCTGCCTTTTGTTTGCAGTGGTGGGGACTGAGCCCAGGGCCTCACGCCCGCTAGGCAAGCATCTACGTGAAGTTATAGCCTCAGATGCCCCCATTTGCTTTTAACTTAAAAATTGCATGTAGTGTGTGTGTGTGTGTCCATGCCAGAGCAGTCAAGAGGTCAGAAGACAACCTATGGGAATCTGACCTCTCCTTCCACCTCACGGCTCACTAAAGTTGAACTTAAGTCAGCAGGTTTGGTGGCAGATGCCCACACTCCAAGCCATCTCCCAGGCCCCATTTTACCCTAGTACCTCACCAGCTTACCTGGGCTGTCCTTGAGTCCAGGATTGTGCCCATCCTATCTTCAGCCTCCAGCAGCTGCGGTTGCAGGCGTGTGACACTATTGCTGACTAACCCAAACAACTAACTTTCATGACGGGGCCAAACTCACATGCTCAAGAACACTTTGTTTTCACTGTGGCCATGACTGAGACAGAGGAGAATCAGGGGTTGAGGACAGTGGGGAGACCGGAATAGGGAGGATGAGGCTATAAAGACAGCATAGGTGATCCCTGAAGGGCGTGGCTGCTCGGTAGCCTGAGTGTGAAGTTGTGGCTCTCCACAGACCACTGCTGGTGCCACTGCACAGAAGGTCACAGGGTGGCTTAGTCAATATCCTTGTTGCAATATGGCAGCGTCACTTTGCAGCCTGGTGTCCCTGGCAGGGGACACATGGGAGCTCTTTGCATCTTGCCTTATGGCGGAGGTGAACCCACAGTCACTTCAGGAATTATTATTATTATTATTAATTATTTAGAAGGAGTTGAGTGTGGTGATGTACACCTGTAATCCCAGCATGTGGGCGTCGAAGCAGAGCGATCCTGAGTTCGAGGTCAGCCTGGACTGGGAGGAAAGACTGTCTCTCATTGAAAGGACAGATTAAGTGGGGCTGGGAGAAGGCTGAGCAGGAACAGGTCTTGCTGCCGTGGCTGAGCACTCAGCCCTGGGATAGCATGGTAGGCAGGGAAAACAGCTCTGGCAGGTGTGGCCGTGTGCTGTGCTGTCCACGTGCTCACGCACACACCGAAAAGAAGTAAATAAATAAGCAAATGCTTTTTGAAGAATAAAAAAAAATTAAAAAAAAGGAGAACATGGGATCGGTGGAAGAGGCCGAGTGTGCGCTGGGGAGGGGTTGTGACTGGGACTGAGGTGTGATGAACGTGGCAGTGTCAGGAGGCTTGCGGCAGGCGATTGATGTCATTAGCTAACCTCAGAGACGCCGTCTTAGAAGGGCAGTACTGTCCCCAGGCCCCACTTAAGGACAAAGTGATGGTTGGTCCTGGGACATTCTGGGCAGACACTCAAGGACAGAGGAAGTGGGGTGGGGGGTAGGGTTTGAGCCATGCTCACTGACGTGGGTTACCTTGGAGACAGCCGAGGAGCCCAAAGACCCAGCCGCGCAGGGCTGCGTGTGCCTGCCGCCCATCCACGACGGGGTCGTCGGCCCAGAGGCTCAGCCAGTAGCCCTGGCAGAAGGACGCCACTTGCTGGCAGAGGAAGAGAAACAGGGTGTACGTGCAGAGGGGTGTGCCCACCGCCCGCAGGTAGCTCAGGTATGTGGTGGTCTTCACCTAGGCGACACGGAAGGGAGGGTGGCAGAGAAGGGGAGGGGGGGGTCAAACGCCCAGAGGCAACACTAGCGAAGCCTCAGGGGGCACGCCCTCTACCCTCAGACACCGGCCTCAGGATGCCTCTGAAGAGACTCACATGGGTCATGAGAAGCCATGATGTGGGTGACTGAGGATGAGTGAGGGATAAACGCACAGGTTAAGGATAAGGGGGGCTGACGGATGAAGGGGGGCAGCATGGGAGATGAGAACGATAGCGTGGATTTCGGATCTGGGCTTCCTAGACTTGAGTGTTGGTCATAGAGGCAAGTGTCAACCCTTGCATGCCTTGCTCCTTCATCTCTAAAATGAGGCTACTACTCTTTAGCTTTTCTGAGGGACCGGGGCAAGGGGGGAGATCATAAGGATTAGGAAACAGGAAGGTTATAATCTCATTTGTCCCACAGTAGGTGCCTGAGGAAGTTGAGTGCCTTCCCCGAGGTGTTGGATCTGAAGCAGGAGCCTGCTCCTTACCCGGCCATAGCGCACGCCGTCCTCTTCATTTGTCAATCCTGTCTCCTTAGGGTCATCCAGAGAAGGCTCTGTCTGTGTGTCTGAAGTGCTGTCCTTCACAGGGGCTGACTCGATGGGCCTGGGCCTATCATTTCGAGGAAAATCAGGTTGGGTTAGTGTCTCTTCCCATACGGGACTGTGAGCTCCTTCCGGTGGAGCCAGTGAGCTCTGCAGCATTCTTCCTATTTGGTCATTCATTCACTCAGGATGGAGGGAGGGGTGTGCATTCACGGATGCATGGGTGGATGGACAGGAAGAAGGATGCATGGATACTGGCTAGAAAGAAAGGATGGATAGAAAGCATGGGTGGACGGGAGGAAGGGAGGAGAGATGCAGGGGTGGGTGGGTAGAAAAAGGATGGGCAGGTGTGTGGATGGATAAAAGGAAGGGTGCTTGACTGCATGGGCGCGTAGGTGCATGGATGGATGCATGGGTGGATGCCTGATCCAGGCACATACTTCCTCCGACATGGCACCCAGCTCCATCACTGGAGTCAAGCAAGCCTTTCCCCTGCTGCCAGTTCACCAAAAGAAAACGTTGTCCAAATATGGAACCCCATCTTCCAGAGTTTCCCTTTGGCCTGAACTTGGTTCTGGTTGTTTTGCCCCTGCTGTGCACCCTTAGATTCCTCACTGCAGCTTGTCTGAATGTCAGTTTTTCACAGTTTTGATGCTAAAGACATTCATATTCCTGTCATCTGTGGAGGTGTGGACTAAGCTGTTCTGTGCCTGTGTGTCTAGGTACAAAATGGGGCTATCTGTCATTTATTACCCGTTTATTGTCTTCCTAGCGTTCATCAATCATGCTCTCTCCCATGAATCATCGATCCATCCATCCCTTTTTCTATCCATTCGTCTGTTCCTCGTTCCTTCCCTCCACCATCCACCCCAGCATCCTTCTATGTGTCCATTCTTCCTTGTATCTAACCATTCATCTTTCCAGTCATCCATGCTTCTTTGCACCTTTCCTTCCATACATTCATTCATTCATCCATCTACCATCTGTTCTTCCATCTTTCCTTCATTCTACCCATCCATACACCTGTCAGTTCATGCACGAACATTCCCTTCCTCCCTTTCTCCCTATCACAATTCAGCTTTCCATCCACTCCCACGTCTACATATGCACATCTACCTGATTTTACTCAGCTCGTGAGCATCGCCCTGCTAGTCATGGACACTCAGGGTGACCAGCAGTCATGATGTCAGAGGACCTGTCCCATCCTCAGGGCCCGAAGACCCTAAGCTTCCCTGTGTGCTCTGCTGGTCAGGAAGTCCACACTCCTGGTACACAGTGGCCTGTTGTCAAAGTCCACTGGATGAGAGGACTGGTAGGAGGGGGCAGTGGGCTCCCTCTTGGTGCCCCCTACCTGTGGACTCTGTCGGAACTCTAGCTCAGCCTGCCTGACAGAATAGGAACATGAGTCTAGCATAGTCATGTCCAGCCACACTGAGGCTTTCCTGGAAGCCAGTCTGCCCTGCTCTAATGACTGGCACTGGCCCACTAGAAGGTACTTGTCTTAGACCTGACCATTGAGAGGCTTACCACTGCCAGTTGGCTGGTGGCTTATTTGGGGTGAGTGAATGATACATGTCACTGAGCCCATGAGGGCATCCAGCAGGCACTCCATATGTGAGTCTGGCTGTCCCCTCTCTGCCTGAGGACAGTAGCCACAAGCAGATCTTGTTTTGGCTTCAGCCTGGCCCTCCCTTGCTCAACACCGGTGAACCTACCTCTCTGGTCTGTGCTTGGACCTCCCACCTCCAGGAAAGCCTCCAAGGTCATCACCAGTGGCCTCCGCATGTGCCCCTGCAAGGGTCAAGGGTGTCAGTGAAGGCCACACTGAAGAATCCAGATATTGGCTTTGACACTCACTGCTCTCTGCTGCCTTAACTTTCCTGAGCAAACATTTCCTAGCACGGTTCCCGCTGCTGCTCTAGCAACCTTTCTCTGCTCTCAACCCTTCCTGGGGTCAGGAGCATCATTCATTCAGTCTCATTCACTCATTCAGAAAATGCTGAGCGCATGCTATGGAGTTGGGAAGTAGCAGTGAATATTGTACAAGGTCAAGCTGTCTTTGCTTCCTCCACATACTTGCCCGAGCACTGTCTGGACAGCAAAAGCTGTCTAATACAAATGGCCAAGTTCTGTGCTCACGGTCCCATTGTTAAGCTCAGAGACAATGGCACTGTGAGCCTACAGTTAAGTGCCGTATTGGTTTGAATGAGACCGGCCCCCAGAGACTCATACATTTGAACACTTGGCTCCAGTTGCTAGAACTACGTGGGAAGGAGCAGGAGGTGTGGCCTGTCAAAGGAGGTGTGTCTTTGGCAGCTTTCAGAGTTTCCAAAGCCCAAGTCACTCCCAGTATCTTGTGATTTGTGTCTCAAGATGAGAGTTTTCAGCTACCGTGCCTGCCTGCCTGCAGCCACATGCTCCACCCTGATGGTCACGGACTCCAACGCTTTGAACTGTAAGCACCAAATAAACTCTTTCTTCTATAAGTTGCCCTGGTCCTGATGTCTCACTACAGCAATAGAAAAGTAGCTAAGACAGGTGTGTGTGTGTACATCTGTGTGCATGCCTGTGTATTTGTGTATGCACCCAGGCAGAGGCTGGAGGACAATCCTGAGTATGATCCTTAGGGGTGTTGTCTACCTTGTCTTGTGAGACAGATCTCTCTCTAGCATTCACTAGTTAGGTCGTGCTGACTGGGCATTAAGTCCCACGGATCCTCCTGTCTCAGTCTCCCTGAAGCTGGGACTATGTGTGTGTTACCATGCCCAGTATTTTCCTTGGGGACTGAACTCAGGTCCTTCTGCTTGCAAGGTGCTGCAGCAACTGGGCCATCTCCCCAGCCTGTCATTTAGGGCCAATGCTGAGCAGATGTTTCTGGAAAAGGCAAAGGTAACATTAAAGCAAGAGTTGAGGATGTGGAGGGCATGGAAGCCAGCAGCGGCCTACCAGTTCACAAGCATGTTCTCTGGCCTCTAGTAGTTTGGCTCTGTGGCCCAGCACTATTGCCGACAAGCCACACATGTAACCTTGGGCCAGTGTGTTGGCTTTCGGGCCTCAGTTTTCTCATCTGTAAAATGGAGACAATTAGGCACCGTGCCTCGGCACGACTCAATGAGCTGAGGCAAGGTGAGTGTCTTAGCTGGCATTTCTCACTGTATGCTCATGGGAGATGTTACTTTTGGAAGTTTGGTGTTTACCCTCTAGAAGGCAGAGGAACCTTAATGCTCCCTGAAGTGTCTTCATAGCATCCTTGAGCATAGACACTGATGATGCACCCTGAATTGTATTCTGGGACCAAAGGCATAGGCCTCAGTTTGCTCATCTGTACAAGGCAGTAGTGGCTGGCCCTACCTCAGAGGGCTCTTGTGGGATCAAAGGAAATGGCTAAGCTGGTGAAGTGCTTGTCTCACGGTGTGAGGACCTGAGTTCCACACCCAGAACCCACAGAAAAAGCCAGGCATGGCCGTGCACGCCTGCGCCCCCGGCCCAGTGAAGGCAGAGATGAAGGGTCCCTGAAACTCCAAATCAAGGAGACCCTGGCTCTGAAAGCAGGCTGGACAGCTGCTGAGAATGACAGCTGGAATTCAGCTCTGGCCCCAGCCACATGTGAATGCACACGGGCACGAGTGTGCGCCTACACACACAAACACGCAAAGAGAACCACAGTATGATGAAAGACAGAGTCCCGGGCGGTGTCCTCGGCTGTTTGTGGGGGAGGAGAGGGTGTCTGCAGGGAAGAGGTTGCAGATGGGCCCTCAAGCTGGGTGTGGTTAAGGTACTCCACCCACAGCAGCAGGACCCTCGCAGCCTTCTCCCAGAGGGTAGCCAGAGCCGGGCACAGCCTCAGCGATGCCCAGCCAATACCTTCTTCTCTTCCACCTGCAGGCTGCCTGGCTCCATCCAGAAGGTCCATGAGGGCTCCATTCCTACGCAGAAGGTCCCGATAAGAACCCATCTCTGCGATGGTCCCATCGGCCAGTACCAGGATCTGGTCAACCTGGGGCAGGACGTGCAGCGAGTGTGTCACGAGGATCCGAGTCTGGGGTGGGCAAGAGCAGAAGTTACATGTGCTGGAGTGCCCCCAGGACAGAGGGGGGCACCCTACCCCTTCCTGTGTACTTGCCCTTGCTGTGGAGAACAGTCTCCAGAGAGAGTAGGGGGCCTATCTTAAGCTGCAATGTGGGCTTAAGGTGAGCCCTTGGGAGCTTCTCATTCTGGTGAGGTTGTGGGGTGACCTGAGAAACTCACCTTAACTTCAAAATACAGCAAGTGGAAATACATTTGAAAAATTTTTTGAAAGAAGGTTTCATGTAGCCCAGGCTGGCCTTGAACCCACTCTGTAGCCAAGTGTTCTAACTTCCTTTCTGTGACTGTGACAAACACTGTGACCTGAGGCAACTTAAGGGGGGAAGGGTTCATTGGGTTTACACTTCCAGGTCACAGGAGGAAAGAGTTTATCTGGCTTACACTTCCAGATCACCGTCCATCACTGAGGGAAATGAGGCAGGGACCTGAAGGCAGGGAAAGTACTCAGCCCAGCAGCCACCGTGAGGGTGTGGCGTGTTGGATGGCTCCCTCAGAGAACCACGCTTAGCTAGCTTTGTGGCACAGCCCAGAACCACCTGCCTAAGGAGGGTTGTAAAAGGAACTTAAAAAAAATTGGTTTGTTTTTTGAGACAGGGTTTCTCTGCAGCCTTGGTTGTCCTAGACTAGCTTTGTAGACCAGGCTTCCCTAAGCACTGGGATTAAAGGCTTGCACCACCACGCCTGGCGTCTGTAAAAGCAACTTTTATTCACCTGTTTCAGTTACTGTCTTCGATGCTTACTGCCTCTGTCCGCTAACCTAGGCCTAGTCCTAGAAGTTTCTAGCCTCTGTGCAATCTAACCAAGGCCTAGAAAGTTTTCATCCTCTGAGACTACTGAGTAAGTTCATCCTTTCCTGTTCTTACTGAGTTCTGACTGGCTGGTTCAAATCAGCTGTTCTGTCTCAAACTCCTATTCCAGATGACTTATTCAATCTAGCTTTTCTCTTGACCTCAAAATTGCTTTGCTTGGCCTCAAACTAACTCCAGAAATCTGTTCTAACCTTCTGGCTCCTTCTCATTCTCTGGCTCATTCTGTCTTCACTTGAGTTCTCTTTCTTCAACCTGTCACTCTTTTACTGTCCTAGTAAAATAAAACTCTCCCTTTCTTTTTCTCTCTCCTTCCCCCTTTCTCTCTGCACTGCCCCTTCCTCTCCATCTCATGAGAGTTGGGCATATCCTATTCTGATTTGTCACTTTCTTTTTCTGCCACTCAATTAGACATCACTTTCAAAATGGGTGCTTCCTTCTACAAACTAATTTTTCCTTCATTGTTTGGGATTAAAGGCATGTGCCACCATGGCTGGACCCAAGCTTTTCTTTGCCTAAAACTTGCTCTATACCAGGCTGGCCTTGAACTCAGATCTGCTTGCCTCTGTCTCCTGGATTAAAGGTGTGTTTGTATTCCAGCTGGGTCACACAGACGTAGAAGGTCTTTGGATGTGATCTCTTGCCGGAGCAGCCATGTTCTGAATTAAATTTCTTCAGATAGTGGTAGAGCCATCCCCAGTGGGCTGGGCCCTCCTTACATCAATTAACAGACATGCCCAGAGGCCAATCTGATCTAGGAAATTCTTCAGCCGAGGCTTTCCTCTCAGATGACTAGACTGTGCTAACTTAACAGCTAATATTAGCCAAGACATCAAGGATACCTTGAACTTCTGATTATCCTGCCTCTACTTCCCAAGTGGTAGAATTACAGGAATGTGCCATGCCCCTGTTCACGAGTGTTGGGGTGGAACTCAAGGCCCTGTGCGTGTAATACTACCACTGAGTCACATCCAACCTGGGGATACGTTACTCATAACACACATAACACCAGGGCTCCACCATGAGGTACTTCTCGAGGCATTGCAAATGGAGCCACAGTTGATGGCCACCAACTAGCACTATGAGAAAGTATTGCTACCCCAGGAAAAGATCAAAATCCTCATATCATAAAAACAATATGTACCATTTTTGGACCACCATGAAGTCGAAACATTATAAGTAGTTGAATCACAAATTCCCTAAGAAAGATATAAGTGTAAGCCACTGAGATTTGGGGAGCTGTTCGTTATGCAGCATTGTTGCAGGAAGAGCTGGTTGATACAAAGAAGAAAACTGGACTCAAGAAGAGCTAGCGAGACAACCCTTGGTTAAGACAGAACTCTCAGGACTTCCTCAGCTTCACCCTCTGACACACACTTACTGTACCCTGGAGCAGTCCACAGGGTCCGATGACCTGTTTGAAGACATGCTGGCTGACGTGGGCATCCAGGGCTGCCAGAGGGTCATCCAGCAGGTACACAGCAGCCTTTCTGTACACAGCCCTAGCCAAGCTCAGCCGCTGCTTCTGGCCCCCGGAAAGATTCATGCCCTGGGAACATGAGCGAGAAAGGGACTCAGCTGAACATCTGCTGGTGACGCCTGTCATCCCAGCACGGGAGGCAGAGGTAGGTGGACCTCTGTGGATTCGAGCCCCGCCTGCTCTACAGAGTGAGTCCAGACCAGCCAGGGCTGTTACACGGAGAAACCCCGCCTCGAAACACAAAGCAACAGCAAAACATAAGGACATAGAGGAGGGATACACCTGCTCATTCAGCCAGGGGTAGCTCAAGGTACCTGTTCCTTTGGTCACACTTGGCTCTAAACACTGAGCCGGCTAAGTGCTAAGGATCAAATCTGGCCTACTACTTGTCTTTGTAAATAAAGTTTTATTGGGACACAGCCATCTATCCACTGACTGATGGTCTATGATGACTTTTGCAACTCAGGGGTCAGAGGTGGGTAACTGGGACAGGCGACAAATGGCCCTCACACTGTACAAGAGTTACTCTCTGGCCCTTCCTAGAAAATGTAGGCTGACCCCTGGATTAGGAAGTGGGGATCAATGCTGGGGACAGAACCTGAGGCCATTGCAGATTCTGAGCAACGCCTTCTCCTCTGAGCCACAGCCCTCGTTGCTTTCATTTGAGACAGGGTCTAGCGCCTGTGGTCTTCTCGCCTCAGCTTCTTGAGCGCTGAGATGACATGCACTCCCACACCTGGCTGGGGTGGGGTCCTTTCTCTCTTGAGGCCAATCCCAGCCCAGCAGACAGAGAGCATCATACCAACAGGTCAGGTACTCCCCCTCCTCCTTAGAACTCCCGGAATTTCCCGCTTCCCTTAGAGCTAGAGACAAAGTCTGGACCATCCCCAGAAAGCTCCCACATGACCCCATTTCTCTCTCCTCATCATCTCCTGTCATAGCTCCCTGTTCCTTCACTCCCCAGGTACAAGGATCCCACCATGCTCACTGAATGTCTGTTTTCATGCTCTTCTTCAGCTGGAAAGTTGTCTCCCCAAAGCGCATGTAGGGCTTATGCGCCCCCCCTCCCCCGCCCCCCTCACCTTCAAGGACAGACCTTTCCCAGCACTCACTCATTAGGCAAAAGGGTCAGGAGAGAACATGGTTGCTCACTGCTAGACCCCACAACCAAGCACATCCCAGCAGAGCAGCCGTGGTGAGCATCAGCTGACTAAGTGGATGGATGAAAGCAAGGACTGGATATTTAGCAGTGAGGACAGAGTGGTGGCCTCAGTGAGCAGAAAGGGGCAGAGTCATAGCGTGGAGGAGGAGAGGGCAGACACCATGCATGCAGACAGTGTCTCAGAAGGGAGGCTGGGGAGCGGGGAGCAGGCTCATGCCAGCTTCTGCTTGGTTTTCTGATTTGTGTGTTCTTTAGCTCCAGGTGGCTGTGGGAACCATCTCTGCTCAGATCCTTTGGTGAGGTCAAGAGAGGGGGAGCGATTTGACTAACCTTACCCAGCAGGGCACTCTGCCCCCCCTTTGTCTCTGTTTAAAATTTTTTTTTAACAGTTTCTCCTCAATAACTGAACGGCTGCTATATGTTTGGCCCTGAGCTGGGGCCGCCTTCCCTCCTCACTTTCTGTCCCAAGTATTCCCCATCTTACTGCCCTCAGGCAGGGAGGCATATGACCCCAGGGGCTCCTCACCTGCTCCCCTATTGGGGTGTGAACTCCTGAGGGGAAGCTGGCCACATCAGACGCCAGGGCACAGGCTTCTAGAACTTTCTGCAACCAGGGCAGGTCCAGCTCCTGCCTGAAGCACACATTCTCCACCACCGAGGTATTCTGGACCCAGGCCTCCTGTGGCACGTAGGCCACGGAACCCTGAAACACGCCCCGATGTTGGTGGTTCACGTGAGAGTGGGGGAGCTGGGTGCTGAGGGTGGAGCTGAGGCAATAAGCAGGAGGGATCTTAGCTGTGCGGGGAAGATGTGCAGCATATTAGCAGCCAGGGTGGGGAGGGACAGGGGTGGCCTTACCTCAATGTTCACAGACCCTTCTACCTTCAACAGCTCCCCAAGCAGGGCAGACAGCAGGGAGGACTTCCCAGCCCCCACTGGACCCACAACAGCCAGCAGACAGCCCTGGGGCACGGTGAGGTTGATCCTGACAACCCAGGGGAGATGCAGCCCTGAAGGCCTAGCCTGGGTGTGTACCGAAGCAGGGAACCCCGGACACACCCCCATCCTGCTGCTCAGGCCTTGGAGAGCCCATGAGGAGACTATCTGGGGACTCTCCTCCCTGACCCTGGTCTAGCTATCTGAATTGCCTTTCTCCTCACATCTGAGCACATCACATGGACACGCATGTGCCTGCTGCACAAGCACCTATGGGCATGCCACAAACATTAGTATACACAGTCACGGGTAGAGCACAGGCACATTTGTGTGGCCACAAGCGTGCCACTAATGCAGATCCATGTGGACATGTGCACAAACACATGCACACACATGGAGGAGATCATGGTGTGAGGCCTTGGCAGCTGTAGCCTCTTGCTTAGGCCTTTGCAATGCATGCCTTGCTGCTCTCCCTGCCCCTGCCCCTGCCCACTCCCGTCTGCAGTCAGCCCTTACCCAGAAGCCACAGGGGCCTGTTAAAGATCAAGTCAGGGCTGGATGTGGTGATGTGCACCTCTAATCTCAGCACTTGGGAGGCAGAGGCAGGCAGATCTCTATGAGTTCCAGGCCAGCCTGGTCTACAGGGTGAGTTCCAGGCCAGCCAAGGCCACAAAGTGAACTGTTTCAAAACCAAAAAACCCAAATCAGTTCCAAGCTTTGACTGAGAGTCAAAAGGAAAGTTCTGGTGAGTATGAGTTATACCCAGTCACTCTGAGTGCCTCTCATTCTCCTCTTCCTCCTTTTCCTCCTCCTCCAAGACAGGGTTTCTCTGTGTAGCCATGGCTGTCCTGGAATAAGTTCTGTAGACCAGGCTGGCCTAAGACTTAGAGACCCACCTGATCCTGCCTCCCAGGTGCTGGAATTAAAAGCATGTGCCACCACTGCCTGTCTTAGTGTTTCTTAAACACATCCAGTGGTTCTCAAGAAGGGTGATTTTATCCCAGTTGGGTGTAGTCATTTGGCAACACCTAGGGGTGTTTTGTCGCACAGTTGATTGGGGCCAGAGTTCAGTAGCTCTTCGTTCTGCTAAACACACCGCAAGGCCCAGGACGGCCACAGTGAGAAAGCCCCAGCCCCAATGTCCAGACTGAGAACTGGGCCTCAGCATGCTCCTGCCTCAGAGTCTTCGCTCTTTGTCTCCCCACTGTTGAAGAAGCCTTCCCCCGACCTCTGTGGTGCCCGTAGCTGGAATGCCAACCTTCTCGCACTGTGGGCTTAGTCCCTTCCCCAGGCTTTCCACTTGTGCCCCATGCTCATCCAGACGTCACCCTAAGAGAACAGAGCCCTGGCCTTCCATCTGGCCCCAGCATCCAGAACTGAGCTTGGTGTGTAGAAAGTGAATTCCCAGCAAACACTCCTGAGGGTATGGCTAGAGGTGGACAGAAATGGCCAGATTTTCCTTCTCTTTGTGAGATGCTTTGGGGCTGAATGACAATGACCTTGGAACTGATACAAGAGGCCCAGAAGGAGGTCATAGCTGATGAGGCTATGAGACTCCTCTCAGCCAGGTGGGAACAGAGGGGTGTCTTCTGCCTAACGAGGGAGGCTCAGGTACCCTGTGTCCACTCTATAGAGCTGTAGCACACGGGAACCCTTGCCTCTCTGCACAGAACCCCAGGAGCCAAGAGCATCTCTCTGTGGGCTTTCATACCGGTGCAGGCAGGGCAGGCTCTCCTGGGACCAAGCAAAGGTGCCATTGTGTACAGAAATGTGATCCGTCGAGGCTGCAGGACACAGAAAGACAGTATCAGGAGCTGATCCTGCCCTCCTGGCATCCCCGTGCACAGTGGTAAAGGCCTTGAAAGCTCTACCCTCACAGCATTAAGTTTCAGCTGGAAGTCTCACAAGGCCGTTGCCCTGCTAACTGCTGTCTCGTAGTAACCCTGCCATAATAACATTGTAATTCAGGGACAGGCAGCCCGAGGTTTAAATCCTGCTTGCTGGACTATAGAGTGAATGTGATACCAGCTTGGGCTATATAATGAAGATCACCAATAAGGGTATTTATTTAAGTAAATAAAAAGATGATCTCAGTGTGCTGGCTTGTGCCTGTAATCCCAGTATTTGGGAGGAGGAGGCAGACAGATCATGAGTTCAAGTCCAACCTTGGCTACAAAGCAAGTTCAAGGCCACCCTGGTTTATCACAGCCTGCCTCAAAAAGCCAAAAAATGGAAGGGGGCAGAGAGATGAGTCAGTGTTTAGAGCACTGGCTGCTCTTGCAGAGAGCCCAGGCTCAATCCCCAGCGTACGCACAGGGCAGCTCACAGCCACCTGGAGCTCCAATTCCAGGGGAACCGATGCCCTCCTCTGGCCCCCCTGGGTATTGAACACTCACAGGTACACAGACAGACATGCAAGAAAAACACCTATGCACATAAGATGGAAGTAAATCACCCCTCCAGTTTTTAAGCCAAACATTTAAATAAGTAAATAAAATGCATTAACTTTGCAGATGTTCTAGTCTAAGTGTGGTACTTAATTTGATTCCCCAGACAAGCCCTCCACCCATCAGGTGCTTGGACCCTGAAGATGGGCACTGAGGCTCTAACGGGTTAACAGAGCCTGGTTTCAGAGATGTCCCTGGGGTGGCACGTCCATCCCGAGGGCCGGAGTTTAAGTACTGGCGGGCATGTTTCAGACAAGCAGGTTGACCAGACGTCCCACTTATATTAACTGCGTGGGAAGCTCCATCTGGTGAAGGCCATCCTCTGCCATCCCTCCCCACAGCAAAAGCAACTGCAGTCACATAGCAGTGGGTGAAAGTGACAGGACTGAGGGGGTGGGGCAGAGCAGGCTCACTGGAGCTGTGCCTGTCTTCCCGGTCTTCCGCATAAGGGTAAGGACTTGAAGGGGTACCCCACTTCCGAGCACTGAGGTGGCAGCCCGCAGTGCGGAAGATTCAGTGTTGGGTACCAAGTGACATGGCGGATGGTAGGACCTGCGTTGCATGTGTGGTCTTGCCACCCCTCCCCCACCCGTCTCAGCACTCACAGCATCTGGGGGGACTGGAGACCATGCCGTGGGGGTCCACTTCTTCAAGGCACAGGAAGGCAGCCAGCCGACCAAAGGACACTCGAGCCTGGAGAGACAAGAGCAGGCTAGTCACCAAGCCAGAAGGGCTTTTGGAAATGCCTGGTGAAGGCTTCCTGAGGGCTCAGCCCAACACGGCACTTGCTAGATGCTGGACCATCTGTAGGTCATAGAAAACAGCGACCTTGACAGGAGGGAGGACTGCTCTCCGCTCTTCAATCCAAGAGAGAAAGGCTGGAACAAGCCAGCGGCCTCAAAGTAAGGCCTGGGAAGCGGGCGGCACCTGTTCCGGCAGCAGCAATGTGGAGTAACTTCCGGGGGGGGGGGCTTCTTGAGCAGCCATTGCACATTTACGCTTGGTGACTGGAGGCTGCTCTATGTGTAGAGCCTGGGGCTGAGGAGATAGCTCGGTGGGGCAAACTGCATGATATACAAGTATGAGGACCGGGGTTCAAACCCCAGAGCCACCATAAAAGCTGGGCATGGCAATCCATGTCTGCCATCCCAATATTTGGAGGGTGGGGACAGGTGGATTCCTGGAGCTCTCTAGAGAGAGCTTATAAACTCTGGATTCAGTGAGAGACTGTCTAAAAACTAAAGTGGGGCACAGGGAGGAATAACTAGTACCTAGGATTTTTGAAAAAGCAATATGAAAACCTGCTGTTTTACAAGCTTCCGTGTGTGTGCGTGCAGGCACATGTGTATGTATATGTATTTAACTGGAGTTACCCTACACAAGAGATGATACTTTTCTCATAAACCATGTATCACCTACTAAAATGCCTAGTGTCGGATGTGGAATATCTCAGCTCTGACCTGGAGAGACCCTAAAAACAACAGTTACTCACAGTGCCCACCAGAACTTGATGGTAATCCCCTGTTGCTGAAAGCACAACATGCTTTGGTCGTGGGGCATGGAGAAACTAAGCTGGTGCTGACTGGGCAGCCTCCCTGCCGGCCAGCTTTTATGGTTTCAGAAGGTGCTGTGCAGGCTGCTAGTGAGAGCGTAACCAACTCTCTTACCTAGCTGTGAACGCTGAGCAACAGGTGACTGTCATGGAGAGATGTGCTCCGGGGTGCAAGGCTGGCTTAATGTCATGGGGTACCCAAAAGTTTTCTGATGGACTTAAGGCCTGCTCCACAGGTAGAAATGCGCACCTTGTACTCTAAATCTGGCCAATAACCCACAGCTGGGGAAGCTGGTAAGCTTTAGGAGTAAGCTTACTAATGTGTTGCCAAATGGACTTCAACTCAACTGTTCTCTAAATGTGTATCTTTCTTTCTAAATGTATCTCTTTATACCTCACATAAGCGCAGCTTTCAGACCTTGGTTAATGCAGAAACTTACAGCTTGTCAGAGCACAGAGAACAACTGTCTGCAAAGAGCTCACAAGCATGATTTCTAGATCACACCCCCTTTCTCCCAGGCTGGGGAAGAGGGAGCAGAAAGCTTGTAAGAGCCAGAGGTCAGGGAGGACTGGAAGGAAACAGTGTCTTCTGGACACTGCAGGACTGCTGCCCTTGTGAACTCACAGCAGCTGTGGCTGCCTGTGCAAGATCAAGCAGTCAACATTCTAGCATGGATGAGGGGAGAACGCATGTGGCTTCATGGCTGAGGAGCTAAGGATAGTTAATGGTTTCTGAGCGAGGGTGGGTGTGTTGGTGAGTTTATGTCACCTTGACATAAGCCAGAGTCATTTGAGAAAAGGGACTCTCAATTGTGAAAACATCATGAAAACAGGCTCGTAGGCAAGCCTAGAGAACTTCTTCTTGGTTCTGGGGCGTATAAGAAAGTAGGCTGGCCTTGAATGGTGGCACATGCCTGAAATCCCAGCACTCTGGGAGGCAGAGACAGGCAGCTCTCTGTGAGTTCGAGGCCAGCCTGGTCTACAAAGTGAGTCCAGGACAGCCAAGGCTACACAGAGAAACCCTGTCTCTGAACCACCACCACCCTGAAAAAAAAAAAAAGTAGGCTGAGTAAATCAGTAAGCAACATTTCTTCATGGCCTCTGTATCAGTTCCTGCCTTGAGTTCCTTCCTATCCTGACTTCCCTAGATAATGGACTTGCAAGCTGTCAGTTGAAATAATCTTTTTCCTCCCCAAGTTGCTTTTGGTCACGGTGTTTTATGACAGCAAGAGAAACTACTAAGACAGTCAGTTTTATTTAAGGGTGTGGCTTCCGGTAGGTCAACCACACTTTTGAGGATGGCCCACACTGAGGAGCACATGCTCAGCACAAACTGGACTCAGTAGGTTATAAAAAAGAAAGAGAGAGAGAGAGAGAGAAACCACAATGTTGGAAATGGATAGGGAATGGATTTGAGAGCAGTTAGGAGAAGATGGGGTGAACATGATCAAAATATGTTGATTGGAATTCTCAAAGAATAAAAAAGTTAATATTAAAAAATAAGGTGGAGAGGGACAGAGGAAGACACCTGATGTTTCTCTCTCTCTCACACACACACAGCAGGACAAAGGAGTAGGAGGAGGAAGCAGTTCAAATCTTCAATCTTCCTCTTTTTTTTTTTTAACATGTCTTTTTTAGGATGTGTGATGGGAAGACAAGATAGAAAAGGCAGAGAAATGAAAGGCCCCATTCAAGGAGGGAACCCGGGATGAGTTCTCAAATGTAAGTGGCACATTCTCCAGGGATGCTGGCTGAGGTTTCCCTGTGCACTCTGATCCACTTCTAATGGCGTCCGGCTGTACACTAGACCTTTCCCTCCCCTCACTCTTCTGCTGACAGTGGTCTAGAGTCTGGGCTGAGCTCCGTGGAGCCATCCTCACACCTCACCTGAACGATGCAGTATACAGAGAAGGGCAGAAAGGCCTGGGCTTTGTTAAGGATGCTGAGCACTGTGAGGGTCACAAAAGCCTTCTCTGCATCCATGGCGTTGTCCTCTGCCACCAGGGTGTGGACAGCAAACACAACCAGCGCCACCTGTTAAAGCACATGGGTGGCACTGAGCCTGCTGTCCCTTTCTGTGGGGCAGAGCCCACTGAGGTGACCCTGGGTTCCATACGTGTAAGCTGCGGGCCGTTGGCACAGGCTCTCCACTGCAAGCATACCCTCTCCCAGCCCCTGTCAGCAGTGAGACCAGAATGACGTCACCAGAAATGTAGACACTTGGAAGGACACCAGAGACACGGAGAAGAGGACGGTGGAGGTCTTCAGAGCGCTGATCTCCTGGTCCCGGATCTGAAGGAGTCTCTCCAGGAAGGCTTGCTCCCAGCCGTGGGACTTGATGGTTCTCACAGTTCTGAGTATGGAGCTGGTGAGCCGTGCTCGGGAGGCCTTCTGTCTCATCTGCTCTTCCTGAGACGGGAGAGAAGAGGCAAGAGAGGGGCCAGCCTGGAAATCTCCATCCCTGTGGCCCCTGCAGCCATTCTGCCACAAACCCTGCTGAGTCTTTCTCCAACCCACACAGCAACCCAGCATCTCTGCCAGGGTCGCCAACCCCACCGTGGGCCCTCATTAACCCCTGACCCCGCCCCCTGCCAGCTATCACAGCCTCCTGAGCCTGCTTTTATTATGCCATCAGAAGCCCTGTGGGTGTGGGTGAGCTGCCAGGAGGGCTTTCCTGAGGACAGGAGGCTGCAGAACCCAGTGTGGTGAGTGCGAAGCTGGAGTGGGTGGGGACAGGAGAAGGGAACCTTCAGGGAGGGAACAGTGTGAACCCAGAGAAATCCAGGGGACTGGAGGAAAGAGCGGCAGCGAGCTGGGTTCTTGGGGAGAGGGCTGACTGCAGCAGGCAGGGCTTGAAGGTCAGACAGGTCAGGGGAAAGTATTTAAGGTTTCGTGTTTAATGCAAGAGACTGCAGGGCAGCTATGCGGAGAGCGCCTTTGAGGCTACCTAGGGCCTGGCCAGTCTGGGTAGCACGGGAGAGATGGGGCCTGGACATCTGCCGGGAGGGTGTCCAGGATCTGCAGAAGCACAGGCAGGGAGGGGGAGTGCCTGCCCGCAGAGGTCACCAAGGCTGACAGGTGACAGTAGAGGGCAGAGGGGACAGTAGAGGGCTGAGGGGACAGTTAGGAGGGTTCAGTTCATCTACCTCCACTCTCCTGTGATTCACCAACTTGACTGAACACTTCCCTCTCCTGCCGTTAATACACCGTCTGCTGTGTAGTGCAGCCTGGCCCCAAACTATCCACCTGCCTCCCTGGTACTGGGAAGGCAGGCCTGTGCTGATTGTTTGTTTGTTTGTTTGTTTGTTTGTTTGTTTGTTTTTGAGATAGCTTCTCACTACTTAGTCCTGGCTGGCCTGTATTTGCTATGTAGACCAGGCTGGCCTCAGACTCACAGAGATTCCCCCATCTGTCTCCTGCATGCCAGGATCAAAGGTGTGCACCACCACATCTGGTTCAACCACTTTTGCTTTCACGTCGTTTATTTATTGTGTACACGTATGAGCACGCGTACGCCACAGCGAGCATGTAGAGGTTGGGACAACCTGAAAGAGTTGGTTCTCTCCCCTCACCATGTGGTCCTGGGGTCAGACTCAGGGGTCAGACCTGTCAGCAAGTGAGCCATCTCAGCAGACCTGATGGTGTACTAAACCCCACCTACTGTTCCCCTATTCCGAGGCTGCCTCCGCCCTCAATGCTTGGAAGCTTCTAGTGTGACGGCCCTGGGCGATGCTCTGAGAGAAGTGCTACAGAAGTAAGAGCTGCAGCCAAAGGACACCTGTGTGTGGCTGTGTGAGGAAGCAGACTAGGGTAAGGGACAGGGGGAGGAGGCGAGGTGGTGACATTGGCCATGGTGGGGCCTTAGGCTTTGACATGGAGTGGCCTCAGCAGCATGGGTGTGGCTTCTTTGGCTGCCACACACTCCCCTGGGCTGAGTTGGGGGCAGAGGTAAGAGTCACTGAGGGACAACAGCTTGGGGCCACTTTGGGAAGGGGCGACATTCTAGAAGGAACGGAGGCTTGTCTAGGGACACGGGTCTGACAACATGGAAGGGCAAGGCCAGCCCTGTAGCCTCTTGCCTCTCCCTACCTGTCTGCAACCAGAACCCCAAGGCTGTTTACCCACCCAAGGTGTCCCCATTCCCAAAAGCCATACCTGATAGTAGCTCTTCTTCTTGGTAATGAAGAAATTCAGAAGGAGAAGGCTGAGGAAGACAGCAATGGCTGTGAGGGCAGAGGGGCCAAGAAGCTAGGGACAAAGACAGGGTGTCGTGAGCCTCCACGGGTTTGGTGACACCACCTCCCAGGGCTGGGGTTCAGGGAGTCCGCTGTGCCCGGCTTTTTATCTAGATTACGGGCTCTGCACCTAGGTCCTCACGCTGACCCAGTGAGCGCTTTTTTGGGGCCCCTCCCTGCTCTGTCCAAACGTCTGTTATTCCTGAGCATGCATGTGGAGGTCGGGACATGAATGGCACTGTAGACTCAGGCTCCCCACCATCTTCACGTTACCCGGGTCCCCAGGCGTGGGTCATCGCACAGCAAGCTACTTACTTTACCTCCTGAGCCATTTTGCCAGCCCCCCTTTTTGTGTTTTATTTCTCTTGAGACCAGGTCTTAATCGGAGCTGGTCTCAAACTCACTATGGTCCTGAGGCTGTCTTAAAAATCCTGATCCTCTCGCCCCTGCCTCCGGAATGCAGGTACTCCAGGCACGGGGTCACTCCCACCATCGGGGGTCACTGTCACTCCAGCCTTCGGCTCACCTCTTAGTAGGGGGTCAACAGATACGCAAATAAGCAGACAGATTTGAGGCTTATGATATATAGTAAAGAGTATTCGGTGTAAGAATGTTCCCCGAGATACTGGAGAAATACTTATACTGAGGGATTATTCAGTTTATTTGACATTTATGTATGACCGGACACCTGTGTTTTGCTGGTCAGCTCCCTCCCACAAGCTCTGTTACTGTTGGTGCCTGGGAGATGAGGTGGTGTGAATAGACTAAATAACATTTTTTTTTTTTAATCAAGTTCTATTGTGCTTTTCTGAGATTTCATCCCTGCAGCCCCCCAGCTCCAGCTGTATTTCTCTCGGCCACAGGAACTCTACTCTCCAGTCTCCAGACTAAAGCAGGCTAGTTTGTTTTATTCATGCAACAAGTCCACCACCTAGTGGCTCAGGGGAATTGTCCTGAAGACAACTGGCAGCCTGGGAAACACACTCATTTGGAAAGTAAGGTTAGCCCTGACTCGCTGGCTCGACAGCACGGCATCATGAGGCCCATCATCTCAGTAAGACTGGGATGGCCTGGTGGTCGTCTGGTGCCAGGGCAGGGCTCTGTGCGGAACACCGTGGCCACTGCAGCCTCTGGTTGTCCTCCGCCTCCTCCCTCGCCCTCCCACAGCAACTGCCAGCTTGTTAACGCTGCGTACAGGCAACTGCTTGGATGCCTGTGTGTGCTCGCTGACCACCTGCCCTGGGATGTTCAAATGTCAGTGTTCATAAATAGAATTTTACTCCCAAGGTCGAGGCAGGAGAATCACAAATGCCAGCCTTTCTATACAGCAAGAGCAAGGCCGGCTTTTTTTTTTTTTTTTTTTCTTCTTCTTCTTCTTTTTTTTTTCTTTCCTGAGACTTGGTCTCAAAATTAAAAAAAAAAAAAAAAAAAATTAAGGACCAGAGATGTAGATCAGTGGAAAATCACTTGTGTGGCATACTCAAGGCATCACAGAGATAAGTGAGAAAATGCCCAGTGGTCATCAGTGAGTGGTGACGCATCCCCTCATCCATCAGGCAGAGCTAGCAACACTGTAGCAGGTAGGTTCAGCAAGCTGTTCAAAGCGCCTGAGCATCAGTAATTCAGAAATTGGAAACAAAGTGCTTCAGAGTCTGATGAAAGGCTTTGAGCACCAACACAGTAGGAAATTCATACTTCCCCTCACACTAAGCCACCGGCAAAATGCAGGGCTAGTTAACAACATTGCTCAAAATGACCTTCAGTAGGTGCCCACAAAACACATACGAATTTCTTGTTAAACTCCGGTTATACCCTCAAGATCTCAAATGCGTCTCTACCATTTCCAAATCCAAACCCATAATTTGGACCCCTGACTCCCAACCCCCCACTCTCACCCCAGCCCAAGGCCGCATAACCTCCGTCAGCTTGTCTGACCTATTTCTAATTATCCTCTGATTTTAGAGCTGAGGAATTGGGGCACAGAGAGGATGAGTTACTAGTGTGAGAGTTTTAACAGCAAGTGAATGGTGACAGCAAGATCTGACCCCAGGCGGCGCCCACACAGAGCCTACCAGTTTGCCCCACAGTGGGTGCCACGGCACTCCATGCTTTCTGCACATGCTGGCAGTTCCTTCCCCTGACACTGTGTTTCAGTCTTTTGTTGGTGACCGTGCCTCAGTGGTCACCCACTGAGAAGTGTTGGTAGTAAGGCTCTGGATGGGTGTGGCGGCAACACTCCCGTAATCCCGGCTCTCAGAGGTGGAGACAGGAGGACAGACATTCGAGGCCAGCCTCTGCTACGTCATCAGTTTGAGGATAGCCAGAGTTACACATGTCTTATCTGAACCCCAAACTGAACCAAACTAAAACTCCAAAGTGGGGGATAAATTCATCAGCACGATCAGCAGCGTTCCGCAAGAGAGGGACCTGCGCGCCAGAGAGGGCCCGGCCTACGCTTGGAGTCTAGCCAAGGCCGCCCTGTCTAACCCTTGACTTTATGTCAGCCTGCACGGTGCACTTGGAGCTGGAGGAAGAAGAGGAAGAGCCAGAAGGAAGAGGAGGAGATGGGAGCTCACGCCCACTTCCTCGTCCCACCTGCCACAGGTAGACAAAGCAGATGATGATCCAGTGAAAGAGAAGCCACAGCCCGTTGAGGTAGAGAACGCTGTCCGCCAGCCGCTGCACGTCCACCGACACCAGGTTGACCACATCTCCTGCTGCGCTGGACTTTCTGGAACTACTGGACAGCACCAGGACCTGGGCAGGTGTGAGGAGGGGAACACGAGGAGGGAAGGCTGAGGGAAGACGGGAGTGGGCGCCGGGTGCAGGCCCAGCCTCGGTTTGCCGTTGTGCGTGCAGTGAACCTGTACACCCCCCCATGCCTCCCGGGGCTGGCATGAGGATCTGGGGGTCACGCATGAGGATCTGGGGGTCATGCTCATGAAAACAAAGCTTAAGCCGTGGTGCTCTGGCTGCATTGGTCCTGTGAAACGGAGGCCCGTGCCTGTGCCTAGAGCAGCCTCCTTTTCCCAGATGCCAGAGCCAGATGCAGGCTGCACCTCACTGAGCTCACCCAGACACTGGAGTCACTCTGCTGAATGCAACTAGGCCTGCAGGTACGTTACATCTTGAGGGTTGTTAAATAAGGGGAAAGTGATCCCAGAATCTCTTAGGTGTAGCTAAGGAAACTGAGGCTCAGAGAAGCAGATTTGCCCAGAGTCAGAGTCCTGGGGTCAGAGCCCCACCCCCCCCCCCCCCCCCCCATGAACGCGGCTCTTCCTGCCTGCTCCCTATCGTGTGAGAGTTAGTGTGATCCATGGTATGGAACTCTCTACTCTGAAAGGTTTTACAAAGGGCTCCTTGCAGTCCCGCCCACCCACCAGGACTTCCTGCCCTTGCTGCCTCCTTAGAACTTCAGTGGAGACAAGCTGGCCGGCACAGCTGGAGTTTATAGTTCACTTCAATGGAGGCTATGCCAAGGGCCAGGAAGGCGTCTCCGTGAGGGTCAGGCTATGTCAGAGCTCTTCTTGAGGATCAGAGGCTGCCTTCGAGGTAGGCAGTGTTTCCTCGTGTGCTCAAAGGAAGTCAGACATGGAGACACGAGTGGACTGTAAGCATTGTCGCAGGAATGCAGATTGTCTTGTTCCTTCCCTTGGGCTAATCGGCTATATAAACAATGGATACCTGGACACTGCCATTTCTCCAGGAGGCTCATGCTGGGAGAAGGAAAAGACCGAAGCCTGGTGCCAGAGAGGAACTAGTCTTTGGGAGAGATTTCACGGTGTCCTGACAACTTGCCGAGACCCGATGTGTCGGTGGGGCCACACCCAAGCAGAACTGCACAGCTATCATCCTGTTTACCCTCTGTTTAAATCTAGACCTCACAGTCAGGGTCCCAAGAAGGGCCTACAGGGAGTGGCCACTGGGTGTGTTTCTCAGCCCAGTGTGGCCACATTGGGTAAACCTCCTTTTTCTGCCTTCCATTGTCACTTATCTGTTTAAGCAGCCTACTGGGGAAGGTGCCCAGCTTGTTAGGGCCACAGGGCCCAAGCTCTGACCCTACAAACACTTTGTTCCCCCTGGTTGAGATGCTTCAAGCCCAGGGAGCCCCCATCATTTCAGCAGTCCACAGACATCACTCAGAGTCTCGCTATGGAGCAGAAGCCAGAGAAGGCATGATAGATGGAAGAGACATGGCTGGAGAAGTTGGGGCTCCGATCACACAGAGCATCAACCAAGGAGGTAGGTCGGAGCACAGGAGAATGCAGTATGACAGTGCACTCTCGCCCCTGATGTTCAATCCCTTAGGAACCCTTAGGGTCCTGACAATGTCAGTATGTGTGTCCTATGACATCATCTGGGCCAGGTACTTAGTGGCCTATCTGCCTCTCTCTCTCACTGGCTCTCTCCACTTTCTCTGTCGGGGCCTCCCTCCCCCCATCCTGTCTTTCTCTCTCTTTCTCTCTCTCCCTCCATCTCCATCCAATAAACCTCTTTCATATAACATCTGTTTATATAACACCACTTCTAAAACAATAATACCTGAGGCTCACCTTTCTGTACACCAGGCCGGTGATGGCTGTTCGCAGCCTCATCTGCAGGATCTTGGCCCTGTACATATGCTGCTGTTCAAACAATGTCTGGAGGCAGGCCGACAAGAACATCAGCACGGCCAGGAGCCAGCCCGTCCACGCCGAGGAGTTGCGGTCACCCATGAACTCTAGAAACAGGCTGGGGTGCAGGGAGAGGGACCGCCAGTGAGGCCAGGCTGTGCCACCTGAGCAATCAGTCAGCATGGTGACTGACTGGACAAGTGGTTACAACTATTTTCAATGTCCCTTTGTTTTTAAAGCAGGGTGGGGATGGGGGTCGTGTTGCCCAGGCTGGCTTTAAACGCGCTATGTACACCATGACCTTGAGCTTCTGCTCCTCCTTACTGAGTGCTAAGGGCACAGGCAGGTACCATCACTCCTAGTTTACGTAGTGCTAAGGACCAAACTCAGGGCTTGGTGCAAGCCAGGCAAATGCTTTACCTACTGAGCTACAAACCAAGCTCCAGTTTGTCCCTAGTTGGGGATAGGACTCAGTCTGTGGTTCAGGTCTCAAGCTGTGTCCCACTGCCTCAGGGTCTTGAGTGCTGTGATCACAAACCTGAACACCAGACCAGATTTTACTTTGTATTTTGAGACAAGGTAAGTTACCTAGCTTGGCCTAGAACCTATGGTGTAGCTCAGCCTGGCCTGGAACTTGCAATCTTCTTCCTTCTAGGTAAGAATGACAGCCCTTCCTTGGCAAGCCTGCCCCCATACTCCACCTCTTGAATCTGGACCGGCTGCCAGCTTTGGCTGTTCAGACAGGGGGTGGATAGTATTGTGCCAACGCCAGGCTTTGCCTTGGGTATGTGAACATGTGATTGTTCCCTGTCTCCCAGGGCCATGTCCAATAGCACTTGAACAGGCCTGCCTTAGTCTCTTCGAGGACGGAAGTTGCATGGAACAGAGAATCTTTCCTCAGTGAGAGCATCTCAGACAAGCTAGCCTAAGCTAGTCTGGCCTGCTCAGCCACTAGCCACAAACTCGTGAGCAAGCCCACCCAGTGGGGTCCAGCCCTAATTACCTATCTTCACATCCTGGCCAGCTGGGTGAGCACCTGTGACCTTAATGGCTAATCTTGGGGGGGTGACCATTTAGCATCAAAAACTAACTGGCACAGGTCCTTTGTCCTGCTGGGGGTCAGTGACTTTCTCTTCCATGTCTCCCCCACCCCCAGGCTCTGGGGTCCTGAGTCCCAGATGTACACACAGAGGCAGAAAGAGCCCAAATTCTTCACCCCACGATGCCCTTGAGGTGCCTCAGCTGGAGCCAGGACCTACCTGAGCAGCTTGGGGACAGCAAACCTGAAGGCATCGCTGATGGCCAGGCTGAGGGTCCCTAGCAGGAAGGTGGACCGGAACACTCGCCAGATAGCCTTGAGCAGGAGGCCCTGCTGGCTCCTCTCTGGCTGCAGGAAGCCCTCTGTCTCAGGGGCCCCCCCACGACTCTGCCCTTTGCTCATCATCACCTTGGAGCGCCTGGTAGAGAGGAGACAGGGGAAGGGACCCACATTATCCTCAGTGGCTGCAGCAGGCCAACGGATTGTGGTTATTTATTATTGCTGTTGTTGTTTTGAGACAAGGTCATTCTGTAGCCCTGGTTGGCCTTGAACTCAGAGCAGTGTTAGAGGCCCACATAGGATGTGGGGGTGACTTAGGGGCCCTGGGTACCACGTGAGCAGTGCAGGGTCTTTGGGTCTCAGATGGTCCCTGCTTGGGGCCTTTGCACATGAAGCCTTCTTTCAGGGTACTAGAGAGAACCTCCATTTAGAATCTGTTTAGATCACGCACAGCACTCTGGGAAGCCATGCACCTTGAGTCCATTCAGTGATCAGTTGGCGCTCGGTGGGAGAGACTGACAGGCATGTGCTGGGGATCCGGAGGAGGATCAGGCCGTACCAGAGGCCAGTGGATGAGTGCTCTCTGCCAGGCTCCTGCCTGAGCACTGGCTCAGCCCCCACTCACCCTGCCAGCACACTGCAGCTCCTCCTCCATTCCCTTTCCAGTTGGGAAACCAGTTCTTCTGAAGAGTTTTCTCTCCCGAGCGACCAGAGGTCTTTTGGTCTCAGCAGATTCCTGAAGCCCCTCCAAAGCAGCCTGTGAAAGAGGGGTCAGGAGAGTAAGCTCCCCCTGCTGGCCCCATGCCCCAACTTTCCTCTGTAGGTCGCTGTGTCACCCCACGGAAGCCACCTCTGCTGGGTGCTGAAGGCAGTGAACCCAGCCCCACCTAACCAACATGGCCTCCACATGTGGAACCCATCTACTGGCCTCTTTTTAAAGACAGGGGAAGTAAAAAAATGACTTAGTGTTTAAGGGACAACGGGCATGCTAGGGAAACAGACCCTCTCTGGGAGTTAGAAGCTCAGGGTCGGAAACATGTTTCAGAGCTTTGATCTTTTCAAGGCGAAGCTCTTGCCCAGGGCTGGTCTGTGTCTCTAGGTCCTGCTGAGCGCCCCCACGAAGCACCAAACAAGGGTGAGCAGCAGGACTCTCTGTAAATGGTGAATTGCTCGGGGCGGGGGGGGGGTCTAGGGGAAAGTCATTTGACACAGTCTCGGTGACACTCAGGTCTGGCACAAAGCAGAAAGCAGGGCTGAAGGGTGCCTGTGTTTGGGGAGCAGGGCGTGAGGCCCTGTAGTAGACCTCCTGGGAAGCTGCTGCTCTGTGGGACCCTGGGCACCAGAGTGCTGCGCCCTTCGCCCACGGGATGGCCCCCAGTGCCCCGCCCTGGCTTTACACTGCAGTTCACTCAGATCAACCTGCTCTGGCCTCTAGGTCTGCCTGTGCCGAAAGCAGCAGCGGACCTGATGGGAGGCCATGGCCTTAGTGCCTGGGAGAATAGCACTATGAAGGCAATCGCTTTCTCCTGCAACCCCGGGATTCCTTCGGGGTAGAGACTTGGCCTTCCGATCCCACTCCTGGCGCTTAGCGTGCAGCAGACACTTATCAACTGTGTGAAGTGATGGGAGCTGAGTGATAGAAGTGCAAGCTGGGCATATTCTGCTTGACAGAGGTAGAGTTGTCCCCATATTACAAGCCTGAGGCTCTGGTGTTCCTCACCTGCGCACTGAGAGGCAGAGCCAGAGTCCAGGGTCACATCTCTCTCTAGTGAGTGAACGGGGCCATTCTGGGAGGGAAGCTCAGGGATGGGTAGAGAAGGCCTGAGTAAGCCTGGGAGGAAATGCCGTGGAGACGAGTGCTGACAAGGTCAGGGGGCACCCCTGTGCCTCACTTACCCAGAAGCCCACCAGAACATGGCCTTGGAGGGAAACGAGGCCTCAGCCTCTGGGCACGGATTCTGGAAAAGACAAAAGGCCAGGAAGAACGAGATGTGATGGTGTCCACCGGTTGTCCCAGCATTTAGGAAGCTGAAACCGGAGGAGAGAGACAAGGCCACCTGGGTTACACAGCAAAGCCCTACCTCAGGGGTAGAAAAAGAGACAGGCTGGCCTTGGTCTCGAAGCCTGCAGTGAGTAGGTAGCCGAGGTTAGGAAGGCAGGGTGAGCGCCCAGTGTTGCAAGTGTGTGGCAACGGTTGGTGTGTCTTCACCAGAGAGAGCTCAGTGAGCGTGGAGCTTCCTGGTACTCAAGGCAGAAAGGGCCAGAGAGCCAGGCATGGTGGCTCATCTCCCAGTCTAGCAGTAGGGACAGGCAGATCTTTATGAGTTCAAGGTCAACCTGGTTTACATATCTAGTTCCCGGCCAGCCAAGGCTACACAGTGGAAGGACTAGAAGGCTAATGGAGTCAGGAACTCAGAACAAGAGTTATTCAGGAGAAAAGCTATTATTTTACCGAGACCAAGATGACCTCAAGTAGACTGGTGTGGTAACTCACGCCTATAATCCCAGCTCTCTGGGGGTAGGAAGATTGCTGTGGTTTCAAGGCTAGCCTGGTCTATCCTAGTGAATTCCAGGCCACTCTGGCCTTCAATATGAGAGCCAGCCTTAAAAGCAAAACAAAAATAACAAATCAAAACTCAAAGCAAGGACCATGCTATAAATATATTATGGGCCGGGCGAGAGGATGTGTGTTAGGAGAAGGGAGTGTTGAGGGCTATAGCTTCCAGTCCCCTCGCTGTTTCCTGCCCCCTTGAGTAAGAGAAAAATCCCTCCTCAGGATTCCACCACCCTAAACTGAGCTGCTCCCATCACCATGATGGACTGAAAAACCTTCCGACAGTGAGCCAAGATAACCTCTGCCTTCAGGTGCTCCAGACAGATGTTTTGTCCCAGTGAGGAGACAGTAACTGATCCATCATTCATAAGAATGATGTATTCTGTGAGCTTGCAATCCTTTTGCCTTTCCATGAGATCACAGCCGCCTCCATGCTGGGCCATGGGGTTCAGATTTTGCTAAATGGCCGAATGAGTACCAACAGGAAAATAAGACTTGTGTTCTAGGCCAATTCCCTTTGGTCACATGGGTTGTGGGCATCAGAATGAGGCACTGAGGTCTGGCCATGGTTTCTAACTTACCGATGACTGGGAGTCTTCCAGGAAGAAGGGCGGCTGGTCTACCAGGCAGGACAGCACAAACTCTGCCACCACCAAGGACAGACACAGGTAGGTAGCCAGGTGAGGGAGGGGCTCATGGTGGAAGCTCTATGGGGGATAGAGAAACCTCACTGAGCCAAGCAGTGGTGTTCAGAAACAGTGAAGGGACTTCAGAGATTTAGGCTGAAGCTGGACATGTGTGCTGAGGTCGGGAACAATTTCTACATAGGAACCAAGCCCTGGTACATGAAAGCCTGATCCTAGCATTCCTGCTCATCCTGGCTCTGTGACTGGCTCAGCTCATCCTGGCATATGTGACTGCCATATGCCTGACTGTGTGAATGAGTCACAGCCCCAGGGACTACAACACAAAGGGGTGGGGTTTCTTCCTTTCTCCTTTCTAGCCCTGTGGTGGTATAAACAAGAATGGCCCCAATAGACTCATAATATCTGAATGCTTAGTCACCAGGAAATGATACTATTTTAAAGGATTAGAAGGATTAAAAGGTGTGGCTTCCATGAAGGAAGTGTGTCACTAAGGGTGGGCTTTAAAGTTTCAAAAACCAGCCTCTCTCTCTCTCTTTCTACATATGGATCAGGATGAACCCTTGGTTTCTTCCCCAGCACCATGTCTGCCTGCACGCCACCATGCTCCCTGCCATGATGCTAATGGACTAAACCTCTGAAACTGTAAGCCAGCCCCCATTAAATGTTTTCTTTTGTAAGAGTTGCTTTGGTCTCTTCACAGCAATAGAACAGTGTCTAAGATGAGCCCCGACCTCCCATTCTGTTCCTTTTTAGCTGACTTTATTAACATCTACTCTGCTTGGTTCTCCACAATCTTGCAATGTCCAACCTGCCCTGGTCCCCACTGGGGTTTTGTATTTGAGATTCTCTCACACTGTAATCCAGGCTGGCCTCAAACTCATGATGCTGCTCCTGCATGTAGGAAAGTTAGGTGTGTGCCATCACATCCAGCTGACGTTTTGGTTTTGTTGTCCTTGTTTTTCATATTGCAATCGAGTGTATCCTAATTCTACCATGGCCCTCCTCCCCCACACTGCCATTTTACCACTGTTTCTATTGGAAATGAAGGAGGGAGTGGGGAAGGAACAGAAGGGAAGGGAGAAATGGAAGGAGAAAAATGAGGAAGGCTTTCTATTCATCCAATATACTAGTAATACTATTACAGATATCTGAAATAAATACAGATGCATGGAAATGTGGGAGAAGATGAGAAAGTCCATTTGTAAGTATGCAAGGTAATTGTACATGTTTCTGTGGAGCGGCCTGTGCAAGCATGCAATGTGTCAATGTCCACATGTATCTCTCTCTCCGTGTGTGTGTGTGTGTGTGTGTGTGTGTGTGTGTGTGTGTGTATGCATGCTAGTGTCCCGTGATACATGGATGGAACATACTGATGTGTCCAGCCTTTGAGAGAAATGTGTTAATATGAGTATGTAGTAAGATAATGAAAACTTGTGTTGTTAAACTATGTACGTTTGACAATGTGATGATGATTGTTATGTTCTGTGGGATAAGCCAGCACAGAAAGATGGTCATGGCATGATCTCACTCACAGGCGGAATCTAAAGAAACTGCCTTCTAGACGCAGAAAGTACAAGGGTTCTCACTGGGAAGGGAGGCAGGAATGCAGGCAGGAAAGGCAAGGAGGCGCTGGGCTGGTCAGTCTCCGTGCAGACAGAACACTATCCTGGGGCCCTGTCACAAAGGCAGGTGACTGTCACTGACAATACTGTAAGACCAGGCTGCCAGTCCAGCTCCAGGGTCACTGAGGGACACTGACTCAAGAGAAGATGAAGACACAGCCTGGCCTCCCCTGGCCTCTGCACACAGGCATGTACGCCTACTATGCACATGGCACACACTAACACACCGCGTCCTGCAAATGGACACAATAATCACGGGTCAGGGAAAAACAAACTGAAATACATGGAATTGGAGGTACTTATGAGGTAGGGTGTCATGTGTGAAAAGGGGGCAGGAGAGAGGTCTGGCACCACACATAGATTTCCTCAGGTCACTTACCCCTGCAGAGGCCTGCTGGACTACGTTGATCCCTGGCAAGAGACAGCAGAGCAGCCAGTACCCGAACAGCACCCCAGATGCCCGGACTCCCTTCTTCCTCTCCATGTGAATCAAGAAGGTGGCAAACGTCTAGACAAGAAAGTGTGGAGGGCAGAGGGGGCTTCTACCTTCCTCACACTCCCCACACTGACAGGAGGCTCCCGCACAGGCAGTGATTACCATGGTGGTGAGCCACACAGTAGGGTGGATGAGAAGCTCCGAGGCCTGGGGCATTCCCTGGTGGATCCTCCACAGAGGCATGGCCACGTTGAAGATGTAGAGAAGTATGAGGGCAAAGCCGAGCACCTGGAGAGACAGACTCGTATAAGACTGTCAGGGAAAAAGAAAAATGAAGGCAGGCTGCAGAAGACCCCATTTTCAATGCTTGGTCACCAATGTGTCACCCCTGCTTTGGGAGCCACTGAGACCCATCCTGACCTTCAACTCTCCTGTCAAAAATGCTCATCAATAGTTTGAGCTGATTCAATGTTTCCCAAGCCACAAAAGAAGCTGGAAGTGTGCATGTTGAGGTGACTCAGGATGTGAAGGGAGGGTTACTCACTACGTGAGGGATTACAGTTTCTGTGGATGCCACTTTAAGATGAATGGGCCTCAGTTCCCAGCACCCACGCAGTCTCTCCAGCCGTAAAAAAGAAAAGATGAATGTGCCGGCTGGGCTGTTTCTGACTTGAGGCAGGAGATGACACTGCCTAAACGCCAGGCTGTTGGTAAACACAGGCTCCAGTTTCAACTGCTCTTGGGAAAGGCGATATTGAAACCCACCTGACTGCCCCTGTAGACCCGTCACCAATTAAAGCAAGCCCTGGAAGGCCTCCCTGCGGCTCTTTTCCAGGGGTAGCTGGCTGCAGCTATGGCACGGTGGAGTTAATGAACTCTCTACTTCTGCCTTTTTGGTCCTGGAAATTCTTTCAACACCCATGTCTGTACTGTCACCCCTGGCATGGTATTTTGGTGGCCTGCATGGGGACCTCTCTCCTCTCTTTTCTCTCATATTTGTGCAGTCAGCTGATCAACCCACTAGAGCTGAAGGTCTCTGGCTGGGGGTTTTCCAATGAGACTGAAGGCCTGCAGGCTGTGACTCCAGACCATTGTCACCTGTTCTGGTATAAACTAAGAAGTTCCTTCTGACCCCTGTAGAAAGTCTTAGCTCCTTTTTGCAATGGATGAACCCTGGTGTAGAGGAATTTTCATTTAGCAACATGGCTACTCTGGCTGGAATACAGACACGCCTTTAATCCCAGGAGACAGAGGGAAGCAGATCTCTGAGTTCAAGGCCAGCCTGGTATAGAGCAAGTTTCAGGTTAAGGAAAGCTTAGGTCCAGGCATGCTGGTACATGCCTTTAATTCTAGCACTCAGGAGACAAGAGGCATGCAGACCTTTGAGTTCTGCTCAGGCGGTTCAGTTGAGTCAGTGGGTTGAGAGGCAGTGCAGCGGAGCTGAATTAGTGGCAGTTCAGTCCACGGGATTCAGAGGCTGTTTTTACCAGCAAAGTTTTACAGAGAGCGGTTGAAGGGAGAGCAAGCCAGAAAGGGTAAAGGCAGAAGCCAAAAAATGGGAAGCAGCCAGACTAGAACAGATTGCAGAGTTAGTGTGAGGCTGAGCAGAGCTATGCAGTGAGACCCCGGGAGAAGCCAGACTAAATCTGTCAGCTTGGAGAAGAATTTGAGCCAGAACAGCTAAGTTAAACGAGCGAGCCAGAGTTCAGAAAGAGTTAGCAAGGGTGAGCTTAATTTCAGCAGTAAGTCTCAGAGGCTGAAAACATTCTAGGCTTGGTTAGATTGTACAGAGGCTAGAAGCTTCCAGGACTAGGTCTAGGTTAGCAGATGGAGTCAGTAAGCCTCAGAGAGAACAATTAGATCAGGCAAATAAAAGTTACTTTTACACCCTGGCCAAAGAGAGACTTGGGTGGAAACTGAAGGTGAAAAGGAAAAGGAGGGTGGCCAGCTAAGATCTGTGAGAGTGGTGATTACTCTCCCTCCTCCTGGGAGCCTCCACACTCAGCGTACGTGGTAAGCAGCAGGGCTTCACTTGGACAAACCCACAGGTATTGTGAGAACACCCTCTTTCGTCTCCCCTCTCCTCTTTCCCTTCTGCCCTTAGCTACCACTGCTATTCAGAGAGGAGAGGGAACAGAGCGCATGGTTGACAGTGCTTGAGCCCATGCTTTCGCATTCCTGGCCAAACTTCCTGGCACTTTCCATCTGATCTCCCAATTCTTGACTCCCGGCGTGAAGCGCAGCTGGCCGGTGGTAGCAGCCCTTCCGAGGCTAACCTGCACACATTGTGGGAATCCTCTTTTTGCTGCTGTCCCATTCCAGCCTCCTTTCCGGTGAGAGCCATCCCGGACTGAGCCCCTGGTCCTGAGGTTGCCCTGGCTAGATCTTCTGCCTCCCATCCAGTAGGTGGAATCTCTCCTTTCCTTATATGAACCCAGACTGCTCATCTGGATTAATTTGGCCCTGAGCTGTAGATTGGCCTGGTGTCTGCAAGCAGTTTGGCTGTGTGTCAGTGGCCCTGTGTAGGAGGGATAGCCCTATAGAGAGGTACCTTAGGTCCTCTATGGTTGAGCAGAATGGTTTGTTGACCACAAAGGATTCCTCACAGGAACAACCGCTCACAGACCCATCAGGGATGGTCATCTTCTGTCCCTCCCAACTCCACTGTGCTCTCCTCTTAACAACAGCAACAAATTTTACCCTCCAACTCTACATTAAACCTTCCTGTGTAGTGTCACGTGGCCACAGAATGGGCACTAGGAGACCTGAGCCCTCCGAGGCACTCTGAATCATCTCACATTCTGCAGCTTGGCCTCTTCTGCCTGAATCCTTTAATGTAAGTATGCTGTAAAGAATACAAATGTTTTAGGTCCAGTGGCCATCAATGGACCCAACAGCCAGTGCCCTGCCTGGCTGTCCTGATGTACTGCTCTTCTCTTCCTCCTCTTCCAAAAAGTAGCCATTTGCTGGTGCCTCTGGTCCTCCATGGGAACAGATGTCCTTTGTATCCCTAACTGTGGTCTCAGGATTAACATGCAAAGATTTCTAGCCATTTATTTTTTTTCCCCTCTCTTTCTGCTTATACTGACATAACTCACTGCCCAAGGTTATCTGTTATCTTTACTAATTTTTGCAAAAATGCAACACTCTGAAACTCTTGGTCTCTTGTACACAGACGAAGAAAATAGTGTTTTTTAAAAAGGCCTTTTGGTTGGGTAATATCCATGGGAGGAGAGGAGGTGAGAGGGAGGGACAGGGAGGAGAGGATGGAAGGGAAGCTGTGAGCAGGATGTGAAGTAAATAAATAACTTAATTAAGTAAAAAAAGAAAGAAAGAAAGAAAGAAAGAAAGAAAGAAAGAAAGAAAGAAAGAAAGAAAAAAAATTGTACTCCAAAAAACTGGAAAATCTCTATGTAGTTTCTCTAGGTAGCCCTGGCTGTCCTGGAATTCACTCTGGAGACCAGGCTGGCCTCGAAATTAGACGTCTGTCTGTCTGCCTCTGCCTCCAGAATGCTGGAATCAAGGTGTGCACCACCACCACCTTAAAAATAAAAAGCCTTTTTAAAAAATCCAAGCAATAATAAAGTCCCCCTGAGACCCACAAAAAGGAAGAAACTTAGAGCTTAACAATGTGGAGCTGGTGCGGTGTGTGTGTGGGGGGGGTGAGGGCTATGCCTGCAGTATCCATGCTGGGGCACACAGAGCAGAAGTTCAATGTTAGCGTCTATGTAGCAATTTCCAGGCCGGCCTGGGTTACAGGGCTACATGCCTGTCTCAGGAAAAAAAAAAAAAAAAGCAAGCAAAAAGTATAAGCAGGAAAGCTTAATTTGTTACATTTTGTAACATAATGTAAACTAGAGCATAAATGCAATTTAGATCCATACTCCTTTTAGTAAGTTAGCAAATGTCTTACAGTGCTCTGATTGTGATGTTAAGAAGAGAAGTAAAGCAATCAAAAAGAAAGCCAACAAGCAGGAGAGAAAAAGGTGAGAGAGAATGTGAGTGTGATCTATTTACTACAGCAAAAGGCGGCCAACTAATTTAATTACCCTTTAAACCACACTGCGCGCAGACCCACACCAGGAGGAAAACGGAACAGACCTAACAACACTGGCTGCTGCTGCCAGCTGCCATCTACCGGAGGGGGCGGGAGATATACGCAAGCTTTGCTCCTTGCTGCTGCCAGCTGGCTCAGCTCTCACAGAGCAACAGTACCGCCATGGCTAGAGAAGGCAGAACTGGGAGGCAGACCGACCTCTAGACAGAGCTCGGCCTGGAACCACATCTAAAATAAAAACGCCATAGCAGAGGGTGCTTGATCCCTTTCGGCTTTGTTTCGGGTGTCATAGACATGGGTCTGTTTGCAGTGTGTTTAATGGTGATGGCTCTTCTCCAAGAAAGTTCAAGGAGAAAGCCAAGGAATGGAATACTAAGTTTTGGACTATAGAAAGGGCACTCTTCCTGATAGAAATTAGGTTGATAACAGCTGGAATTCAAAGCTCTCTGGCTGCAAGATGCTTGTCAGCTCTTTCAGGTAAGGGTCTGCCAATACTGTAGGGACAACTAAATTCCAAAAAATTATAAACTCCTGCTTTGTGAGCCCATACATATACACACAAAATACGCTTTAAAACATAACTTTGAAAAAGAACTGGGTGGCAGTGATGCACGCCTTTAATCCTAGCATTTGGGAGGCAGAGGCAGGTAGATCAGAGTCTGAGGCCATCCTGGTCTGCAGAGGGACTCCCAGGGCAGCCAGAGCTATGAAGTGAGACCCTGTCTTGAAAAGACAAAACAAACAAATTAAAAACAAAAAACGGTATCTCCTAACTCCTCTTATGAGTCTGAGACCCGAGAGGCCCCCCAGGATGTCAGAATAATGGACACACAATTAACAGATCTAAGTCTGTCCCAAGATCCTCCTGCCTTCTGGGGGCATCCACATAGGGTGAATCCTCTGCCCCGTGGCACACTGGGCTCTTGCCTTCCGGTTGCCGTCCCTGATGGACAAGTGTTCTTCCCACCTGGCCTGCCACCGTGTTCTTCCCTCCCACTCTTAGGTGGGTGTGACATGACAGCCTCTTATGCCTCTAGCAGGTTTCTAATGCTGCTCTGTATTTTCAGCCTTCCAAACAAACCAAGTTTGTTTCTCCCAAAAATGCAACAGATCTGACTTCAAAGCAGTTGTTCATGCTGGCCATGGTGGTGCATGCTGTCGATCCCAGCACTGGGGAGGTAGAGGTATGAGAAGGTCTGCGAGTTCAGACCAGCCTGGTCTACATATCAACTTCCAGGTCAGCTAGGGATACCGAGAGAGAACCTGTGTCCAGAAAAGAAAAAAAAAAATGTACAACAAAGATAGTAAGCCATCTTTTCTGGGCTGGATCCTGAAGGGCCAACTTCTTTTGTTGTTGGTTTTCCCCCCCTCGGGACAGGGTTTCTTCGTGTAGCCTTGACTTTCTTAGAACTCACTCTGAGACCAGGCTGGCCTCGACACAGGGATTCACCTCTGCCTCTGCCTCCCTAGTGCTAGAATTAAAGACGTGCACCACCATCCAGCTCCGACTTCTACACTGGATCAGACTGGACAAACCTTTCTGGAGACCTTTCGTCAACTATCTGGTTGTTATTGCTTGTGCCAATAGACTCACACCCTCAATCTAACCAGCCTTAATATCCCACCAACATACACGACGGCATATCACACCCGTACGACCCACAGCGTCACCTACAGGAAGTGCTAACCAAGGCGCAACCCTCTCCTTGGAGACCTCACTGCCTTTTCCCTTGGTTGGGCCATCTTATAACCCATGCTCAACTTAGTCTCTCATGAGCATCTGTCAGATCAGTGATAGACAGGGCCACACTGCCTCTGCTCCCTTGAAGAAGCTACTTAAGAAGGGACCTTTACCCAAATGCCAATGATGTGACATGGTCCCACCTCTTCAGGGTGAAGTGGGGGTGCCAGTTTAGGTCACATTGAGCCATTTCCCCCTCAAGGCAAGACCATCATTGTTTCAAGGCCAAGTTGTCGATAACCACCAGCTCCCTGCTAATACAACGTGGTCTGATTGTCTCTGCAGAAGCTCCCCCAAGCGTAGCTGTCCCTGTGATGCCCCCATTCAGTCTCTCTGCTGACTCGCTACTGTGGCTGTACCACAGCTTATCCAGTAAACTCTGCTTCTGCCTTTTCTTCTGCCCTGGTGAATTCTTTCCCTCCCACATCACTGTCTATCTGTGGTAATGGTTATGGGCAAGGCATGCTCATGAGTGGAGTCAGCTACAGTCTCTATTAGTAAGTTCAGGAGAGGAGCAGGGCTGTGCAGATGGTCCAGTGGAGGATGCAAAAACAAAACGAGTGGAATGGCTCATGCTTGTTGGGCAAGCATTTATCAAAGATGGTAAAACAAATGTCTAGCAATTAAAAAAAAATGTTCAGCGGGCCTATCAGCGAGAAGATGTGAAAGCACGCATGGAAACGTTCAGGAGTGCAGCTCAGCACTGAGCATCTGCTGTGTAGGTACGACTCTGGGGTGGATCCCCAATATAATGGAGTCGGACAATAAGGAGTCGGGGGTCATGACACATGCCTGCAATCTCAGAAACCAGAAGGCGAGGCAGGAGGATCGGGAGCTCAGGGTCTCTCTTTGCTACATAGTGAGTTTGAAGCCAGCCTGGGTTACATGAAAGCTTGTCCTAAAAAAGAAAGCCAAAGCACATAAACAAAATACCTGCTGAAGTTATAAAAAGACTCCTCCTCCCTGTCTGGCTCTAAACTCCCGTTCGTACCTCCAAAGCACCCACAGTGCCCGTCCACTGTAGCTATGTGTTTCTGTGTGTGAGTGTGTGTGTGTGGATTTGCACAGTCACAACGTCTGTTTGTGAGGACTTTGACCTGTGGGTTTATCCCCGTCCTCTCTTCACTATTGATCTATTTAGCTAATTGTTGGCCTTCTTGCTCTGTCCTGTGCTCTTGTTGATGCTCCCATCAACATGGGGTGTCTGCCAGTCTCCAGCTGCCCCCCCATGCTCCCTCCCCCTCCCTTCAGCTACCATTTTGACTTTGAAGAGGTAGGACATCCGGAGGTAGCACCTGCCATGGCGATGGATGTAGAAAAGGTAGATGGGGCCGAGGACCCACAGGTACAGCGGGGGCGCCCAGCTCCCAGCGGTTCGCAGGAAGCACAGGCTGAGCAGGTGTGGGGCCCCAGGCTCCTGCTCTGTCTGGTTCCAGCCCTGAAGAGAGCAGCAGGGACACTGTTAGGACGGTAGCCACCCTGTCCCAATGTCACCCACCTGTGGGGACAGACATTGCATGGAAACATTACAAGCCCTCCCTGGTGTGCCTTTTAGTTCTCAACTCCTTTCATCCTTACATCAGCTCCATAGGGCAGATGAAGTTATACTGCCTTAGCTTAAGGGGAAGCAGAGGCCCAGAGAAGGTAAAGAGGTTTCCCAAAGCTGCTCAGCTGGGAGGCAGTGGGCTGGGGCTGGCTTTGTGATCCTCTGGCCTCAGCTCCCCAAGTGTTGGGCTTATAGATGAGTGACACCTCATCTGGGTGGCATTTGGCTTGGCTGTTACTCATTATAAGGACCCTGGTGGTAGTGGTTGCCACTGTCCCGATTTCATAGACCAGTAGACTGAGGTACCCAAAGTGAAAAGCCCGGTTTGCACCCACACAAACGGAGTGGCAGAGCCAGCTGTGCCCTTTTCTGTCAAAGAGGGATGATAGCTCTCCTGGTATGTCTGTCTGAAGCCCTGTTAGCCGTTGAGCTCACAGCGTGGTGCTAGGCTCAGTACAGCCCTCTGTGAACACAGCTCCTTCCTGCTACAGGCTATAGAGTAGAGACGGGTAGGAACAAACGACGCAAAAGACCCGCGGGCTCTTCAGGAGTGGGAAGGTTTGGGGTCCAGTCCACTAGCTTTCCGCACATAACAAAGTCCCCAGTGGCTGGCAGGGGCTCTGCAAGGGCCCTGGTTTGGTCTGTCACTGGCCTCGCTCAATGAGGTCAAGAATTTGGGAGTAGGTTGCCGCTTTTCCCAGCAGTTGTCTGTGGACCAGGGAGAGGAGAGGGCAGATGGGACTCACCCTCAGGCCGGCGCAGGGCTCTCCAGGCGTGGCCATTGGGGCCCTCTGCTCATCAACCCGTGTTTGTCTGTCCCAGAGCAGCCTTCAGAGCCCGGCTCCAGCCTGGGGAAGAGGCGGGACCGGGCGGGTTCCACGAGGATTGGAGCTGGAAAACGGAGGCCCCAGGGCAAGGTCCAGCTGCAAACTCAGGTGGAGCGGGTGCTCGGGGAGGTGATTCTGGAACCCGTGAAAAGTGCCGGGACACCTCTGTGCTTCCTGCCTATGAGACGTCCTTCCCAAACGGCACACTTTGGACCCAGCAACTGCAGGAGGTTATCCTGAGGAAAGAGCCAACAGACTTAGTAATTAAGCGTCCAGCCGCTGGGGACCGGTCTAGATGCAGGCACCGGGAAGAATGAAAGGGGCTCACTTAAAAAAAAAAAAATTTGCTTACACATGTATTGTTCTTATTTCTGCATTAGTTTTTTGAGATAGGGTCTCACGATGGACCACCTCAATAAAGCCGTCAGCGTGAGCTGGGCAGGTGGCTCCGGCATTAGAAGTGTGGAGCTAGAGACTGGAGTTGTGTTCCCCTACTCACGCCTCCAGGGGTTTTCACTCAGCACCTCATCTGGCCTCATACTCACGTGTGTGTACCCATACACATAAAAATAATTAAAAATAACTCTTAACATAGTTTAAGCGGTGCAAGTCACACAGCTATCGCTTCGTAAGTTATTTATTAGTAGCGCTGATTTCGTCATTAGCCCATCAGGTTCAAGCAGCAGCTTAACATACTACAAAAATACATTAACGTGGAGACACGGCCTCTAAGTACTGAAACAGATTATAGCACACAAATGGATACAATATTTTTGTAAAACAAAAACAAAGTGTTCCTAAGACAGGGCGCGAAGAAGGTCTTTTTCTTTCCTGTCCCAAAAGCCTAAAACCAAGGGGTGTGGCTCAGGGCAGAAGACCTGCCTAGCATGGGTTCTATTCCAGCGATGCATCGCAGACAGACAGACGGGTGACCCTGTGATGTATTGTATGTTTGCATAGCTACAGAGTTGGAGATATACTAAAGTTGAGGGCATTGGTGCTCTTCCCAGGACAGGGGATAAAAGTGCTGCAGACAGAGCAACGGTGGCGCTCTGCTCCAGTAAGGGTGGCACGCAGACTCTGTCCCCTGCCCACCCTGCTGCTTCTCTGGCAGCCTGTTGACAGGGCCCAGGCAGGATGGGATCTTTTGTGATTGCCTGGACCCCCACTATGGTGTAGTCTCCTTTCCGCTGCCCTCTGCTGAGCCTTCTGCAGGAGGGGCTCCCAAAGAATCCTGCCTGCGTCTGGGAGCTGTGTGCAGCAAGTATGGTGTCAGGAAACAGTCACATCTCGTCTGTTTATTCTGGGTCTGTGCTGGTGGAAGCCGTACAGGGAAGCCACAGCCCCTTCTCTCTGTAAGTGTCAGCTCCCCTCCCTCACCCTGCCCCTGGCATTGCTCTAGGCTGCAGCAGCTTTATTTCCTGGCATTAACAATAATAATAAATTTATTTATTCAAGTGTGTAAATTCATTTGAGAGAATGAATTCAAAGGAAATTCAACTGGATGAATCTCAGGCATATGAGAGAGAGAAAAAAACAAACCTCAAAATGTTTCTATACAAGTTAGAGTTGGAATCAAAATAAAAAGTAAATATCTTTAATATATTATGAACTTAAATAATATGTTTTGCTTAAGAAAACATCATTTAGCAGGCAGGAGGTCTGTGCCTTTAATCCCAGTACTCAGGAGGCAGAGGCAGAGGCAGGAGGATCTCAGTGAGTCTGAGGCCAGCCAGGGTGACTTGAGTGAGACGCTGTCTCAAAGCCAACAGAACAGCATGATTTGTAATAGAAAACCATGTCAACAGGACTACATCGTTTGTGACAAAGAAGCCAAAGCACAAGCTTCATTTCTTTATGATCGTCTGTGTGGGTGTCAACACGAAAACCACAGCTCTCATCTTAAAGGGAGTAAGAGGTAGTTTATTCTGGAGCCATTTTGAGCCCAAGAACAGGGATTTAGTTTACCCCAAATTCCATCTTTCAACATGGAAGCAGTGCAGGTTTCAAACCTGGGACATAGGGCTGAGGTGCCTATTTAACATATCAAAGCAGACCTGGCCTCCAGGGTCTCTCAGCGTCCCTCAGCTCCTTCCTGTTACAGGGCCCTCCTGGCTGGCACACCCCAGCTGCTACTCTGAACTCTCCAGCCCAGGGGGCTTGTCTGTTCTTTGCTTTATAACCTAACCATTTTGGTTACCCATTCCTTTTGTACCTTTGGGCCTCCTGGCTCTGTGCCTGGTCCCTCTTTCTCCCCTCTCCTTTCGCCTCTCCCAGCTCTTCATTCGGCACAGCTCACTCTGATCACGCCACTCTGAGCTCTCCCAGAGGTCCCCTTCTCCAGCTATGCTCTCCCACTTGCATATAATAAACCTTTTCCTCCCCCCACCTACACAAGAGGAGGAGTCATGTTTCCCTTTCTATTCTTTTTTTTTTTTTTCTTTCTTCAAGCAGTTAACCAAATTTTTATGGTCTTACAAAACAGAGAAAGTCATAAATTAAGGCGAGTTTAAAATACATTGATGAGTGCATCAGAGAGGCAAGCACATCAAGATGGAGGAGGCCCAAGATGCTATCTGATGGTGCTCTTTGGGCTGGCAGAAGCTAGTTGCCCGCTAAGTCAATAGATTCTGAAAGGGCATTTATCTATTTTCATCATATGTTGGCTTCAACAGAGGGGGGTGGTGTGGCTGTTCCAGAGAGGGATGGGGATTAAAATGGAAGGAAAACCAAGTAACAAATTTCTAACAGGTTTTTTGAAATGACATCTGACGTGAAATATGTGAATCAAAAAGATTTGGGACTTGTTGAATACATCAATCAACAATAAGCTCTCAGCTGTATCACTGAATCTAAAGTGAGAGCCTGTCTGGCTGTTCCTTCCAGAGGCTGCGCGAAGTCCTCCAGGACGCCAGAGGCGCAAGCCGCTGCGATTCCAGCGGGGCGTGCGTCACGTCGGTCTTTCTTGGGGGCGTGGGCGCAAGGCCGCGGCGCGCCTGCGCGGAACGGCGCGGGGGCGGGGCTTGAGCTTGTCAGCCGAGCGAGGAGGAGGAAGGAGCCGGCTGCGTGCGGTGTGAGGGGCGGGACCGGGCGGGCTGCGGAGGGTAGGCACGCGGAGGCCCGGCCATGCGTGCGGGCCGGGGTGCCGCGGCGCTGCTGCCGCTGCTGCTGCTGCTGCTGAGCAGCGCGGGGCAGGCGATCGGCTCCGAGGACATCGTGGTAGGCTGCGGGGGGTTCGTGAAGTCGGACGTGGAGATCAACTACTCTCTCATCGAGGTGAGCCGCCGCGCGTGGCCCGGCTGGCCGTGTGATCCCGGGCCAGGCTCTAGCTGCTCTGCACCCTTCCCCAGCCGCGCCGAGGGGCGGGGAGCCGAGAAAGTCTGCTAGACCCCGGCTCGCTCACACCACGACCCCTGAAACTCTGATCTGCCCAGTCCATATTGCAGAACCTGGAAACCACACGTGTCACTCTCCTACTCCAAACCCCAACGTCCGGACCCATCGCTCCTCCATCCTGTCTGGGGTGCATTTAAAGAGGATCGATTCCCATCGCTAAGCCCTGCTTGAGCATTGTAGCACCTCTGGGGCTGTGAGGCTGCCTCCCCTCCCACCACTCCTTTTTAAAGTGGAGAGTTGCCAGCCACACAGCATAGTTGCTGGAATTACGCTAGAGATTTGTGAAGCTGTTTTTTTGACTGAGTCGAAAGTTCTGTGAAATATGTATCAGCCCAGTGGGATTCTGACCCAGAAAGCCTGTGAGGAGGAGGAGGATGGGCAGAAGTAAACACAGGGGACTGGAGAACTAGGCCTGGCTTTCCCAAGGAGGAAGATGGGAAGAGGTAAAGACAGGTGCCCGAGGAGGAGACGTGGGGATGCCAAAGAGAAGTGCAGCTGAGGTCCCTTTGAGCTGCCTGCCCTACCTTTAGCATGCTACTTAGGACTGGGGGGAAAGGTGAGAAGCTGTCCCCACCCTGATTTCCCTTTGGCCTGTCCTTTCTCCAAACCTCAGTCTGTAGATTTAAGATGGTGTTAGAGGTAAGATGATTTCCTAACTCTGGGAGGATCAGTTGTCATCTTCCAGGCTGTGTGTCTCCCCTCTACCTAGTTGACTAATTTATATTTTATTTTCTAATTTTTTGAGACAAGGTCTCGAGTAGTCCAAGCTGGCCTCAAACTCACAATCTTCCCAAGGCTGGCCTTGAGCTCTGGAGGCTCTTGCCTGCACTTCTACAATGCTGGATTACAGGAGTATGGCTGGTCTCCTTCTACCCCCTTTTTTATCTTAAGGGATCGGGGGACTGCTGGGGACATGTTACCAGGTGCCAGTGCCATCTCTTCGCTTTGTGGCATTGGGCATCTCAGGAGCTGCCTTGGAAAGGCTTTTCAACTTGAGCTTCCTACAGTGTTGGGAGAGTCAGAGGTGCCCTCACACCCAAGCACCAACAGGAATCAGGAGAGCAGAGAGTGGGTTTTGTGGCCCATTGTGAACTGTGTTTCTCGAGCCTGAGGTTTCCTTGTCGACATGTCTGAAGCAATCCATCCTTTTGTAATGTCTGCTTACGACATCAGGCATTTCATGTATGTAATCTTCACATAGTCATGTTGACCTTTTCTAATCTGTACTTTAAAGAGACTCGTACTGAATGGTCCAGAGGGAAGTATGGTAGCCGTGCTTTTGATTTTGGAATGATGGACTTCCTAGATACATAGCAAGCCAAAGGAAAAGACTAACTAGCAGCCAGCAGGTGCACAGGGAACAATGCATGGTTAGAGTGAGTGCTGCAAACACCCAGGAGAAATCCACCGACGGTCAGCCGGACTCCTCAAGACTGAGTCCTGGGCACAGCAGATATCCTCCGGGTGGGGCCCCCAGGAACCGAGCAGGGAACAGCACCTAGCGATGGCACCATCAGCCAGGTGCTTACAACATGTAGCAGAACCTGAGTGGGGAAGTCGAGGGATCAGCCGGAGGCCCCTCAGTGGAACTTGTGGCTTCCCCAGGCACTCTTACATCCTGGGATGAGCAGCGGTAACATCTGATGGGAAGGGCTCACCTTCCAGCTCTGCCCAGTGATGTGGTGCTTCACTCTCGCGGAGAGGGAGGTTGGTTGTTCTCCTCAGTCC